TGGGTTGGCCATGTGCAAGGCAAGCACATGACCTGCTGTACCATCCTCAGGCCCCCAAGCCCCTCATTTACTTTCACATTTACTTTTGGATTCATTCAGTGAACTCTTTAGCTTTTTCATTGTTCTGATTTTTGTGGGGGCCCATCTGGCCGTGCTCTCAGGCTATGTAGGGGTTCCTTTCAGTGGTTCCTGGGGAATCTAGGCCTCCTACAGACACATGTGTGGGGTCAGCCAAGTGTAAGCACTTTAACACTTTAGCCCCAGTATTATCTCTGATACATAGTTATTCTATCTCTGAACCCACAAACATATTTTACTAAGAATCAGTTAAGTAAATCCCACAAATATATGTGAGCTTTCATGTGATTGTGCGTTTTTCTGGGGAGAGTATTCTCACTGAGCTCTTACCAGATTTTTTTTTTTCTTTCTGGCTTTTGGGACACACGTGCCAATGCTCAGGGTTTACTCTTGGCTCTGAACTCAGGGATCACTCCTGGCAGTGCTCACTGAACCATTTGGGATGCCGGGGGATGAAACCTGGGTTGGCCGCAGCATACAAAGCAAATGCCCTATGAACTGTACTATCTCTGTCCCTTCTTAATAGATTTTAAAGGAAGGTCTGGACCTTGGAAGTTTGATCCACTATCAGACTCATTCCCGAGTAGCCCGAAGGGAATTTTTAACCTTCTTGATATTTCAAGTACGTCAATCCTAAAGCATCCCTTAGATCGTAGATTGTAGAAAATGAGCAATAAACATTAGCTCTTTCAATTTTGATTTTTTTTTTTTGATTTTAGAGTCATACACTGCATTGCTGGGGTGGGGGAGTTTCCTAGCCCTGTGCTAGCAGCGGGTTGCTTCTGGCAGTGCTGGTGGTACCATACAACGCTGGGGGTTAAACCCTGCTCTCCTGCAAAGCATGCGTTTAGATCTGTTGAGCTATCTCTCCAGCCCAATAAGTGCCAGCTCTTCAGAGTATCAGAGAGGAATCTTAGGTTCAGCAGCTAGAAACTCCAGTAACTACTGAATATTCTGGCGATATTTCTAGTTTCCTTCCCTGTAGAACTTATTTATTAGCTTTTGAGAAGAAAAGGCTCTGGCGCTGAATGTATGCTTGGCAGGCAGAAAGCTTGGCTTTGATCCCTGGCATGGCACAGTTCTCTGAGCACTTCTGGGAACAAACCCGAAACAAAGAAATGAATAAACAAAAAGTTGGGGCAAGGAGATAGGTCAGGAAGATAAAATGCATGCCTGGCTTGCAGTGCATCCTGAGTTTGCTCTTGAACTCTGCGTCACTCTCAAGTTCTGCCATCTTTGGCCTGGTGGTCCCCAGCACGTAGAGGCTGAGCACTGGGTTATCACTGGGAGCAGTTGCTGGGCCTGAGTCCTGATGAGACATAAACAGACTTTCATAGGAATAGAGCTACTGCTTTTTAGTTACTCCTGACTCAGTGCTCAGGGCTGCTGCCAGGCGTGTGGTCAACCCCTAGTCCATCCCAGACCTGGCATCTGATCCGAAGAACCGCCAAGACACACTCCTGTGTAGAGCCAGGAGTAGCCCCTGAGCACTAGTCGGCATAATCCCCTTGTCCAGAAGGTAATGGTTTAGTTGGTCCAACACGTCAGTTTTGAGGTGTGAGCGGATCTGTAGGGGGAGAAGGCCAGAAGGTGGAGAGGCTCATGCGGAGCCGTCATGCAGGAGCAGGGTGAGGAGGCCACGAGTTGGCCCCATGAAAGGGTTTGGTGCTTTCAGGGTTTTGTTCAGGGTGGGGGCAGAGCCAGCGGTGATCAGAAGCTATTCCTGGCTCTGTGCTCCTGGGTCACTCCCAGTGGTGCCTCTTGGGGTGGCACCAAATGTGATGCCAGGGATAGGAACAGGTTGGCTGCATCCAAGGCAAGCTTCTTAAGCCCTGTGTGATGGTTTCGGCCCCATAAAGGAATGTTAAGGGAATGGCCCTCGAGTGACTAAATGGTCTCAGGTATTGCAGAAGGCAGATGCTATGAAAGTAGTAAGAGAGGCCTGTTTCACACACTCGTCCAGCTGGGTAAAATCTTTCCTGTTTATCCCGACATGCTTGGGGGCACTCAGGGTCTCTGATCTACCTTGACAAGGTGGAGCAAGGGACAATTCCATTTAGAAGAAATTTAGAATGCTCTATGTTTAAAAAAAAAAATTCAAGATTCACGGGTCTGATAGTACAGTGGTTTGGTGGGTCGGTTTCTTGCACTGTATGTGCCTGACCTGGGTTTTGATCCTCAGTACCCTGTAAGGCCCTGAACCTCCACCAGGAGTGATTCCCAAGTGCAGAGCTGGGAGTGAGCCCTGAGCAGTATATAGCAGGTATAGCACCATCCCCCTACCCCCCCAAATATCTCTTAAATATCTTGTGCTTATTTTGATTTTTGTGCCACACCTGGCAGTGTTCAGGATTTACTCCTGGCTCTGCATTCAGGAATTACTCCTTGTGGAGCTCAGGGGACCCTATGGGGTACCAGGAATTGAACCTAGGTTGGCCATGTGCAAAGCAAGCACCCTGACTGATGTACCATAGCTTCAGTCCCATGATTTTTTGGGGGGTTTGGGGGCCCACATCTGGTGGTTCTAGGGCTTCCTCTTTTGAGTATGAGCTCAGGGGCCACTCCTGGTGGTGCTCTGGGCACTTTTTGGGGTAGCACTGTCCTCCCGTTGTTCATATATTTTCTCGGGCAGGCACCAGTAACATCTCCATTGTGAGATTTGTTATTGTTTTTGGCAAATTGAATATGCCACAGGGAGCTTGCCAGGCTCTGCCATGTGATGCAGGGGATCAAACCCCGGTCAGCTGTATGGAAGGCAAGTACCCAACCCACTGTGGTATCTCTCTGGTCCATTTACAAAGGTTAAATAAAGACCCACATGGTAGCAGCTTAATATCTACAAGACTGCAATCAATAAATTTTTAAATTTCTTTGCTGATTCAGGAAATACCCCAGAATTAGAAAAACATTGTGTTGATATTCCGTCTCATAAACTTTCCCTGTCGTCCTGATACAGCCCACCATCAGTATGTGGATATCAGTGCTTTTGAGAATATGAATTATAAACCAACTGGTCTTCAAAAGGGGCCAAGATGTGCAAAGCAGTAAGGTATCTTCATGCCTGAAAGAACAGTCAGTGCTGGGTGTTCTGGCTGTGTGTGTACACGGCAAGGTTACTTTTCTTTTTTGCCTAGAGTGGGAAATAACAGGAAAACAATGTCCCTTTCTTTTTGAACTCAAAATATTAATCATTAATTTCTAGGGTTTTGAATGAAGGCCATTTTCATTGGAAATGCTACACAGAAACACCATTACAGAAACCATGTCTTTTTCTTCTGCATGCGGCTCCCTCCACCCTCCCCAGAGTAACTTTTAAAAGCACCTAACCAAGTTTGATGTCTCTTAGAGACACTGCATGTATTACTGACATCAGTTTTTGGGAGGGGACCTGGCTTCTGTGAAATCTTAAAACGCCTTCTCACTCGGCAGGTCCGGCTTGCACACACTCCTGAATTGCCTCATGTCTCGAGAATTGGCCGGAAGCTGCTTCTCTTTCTGTGCCCCTGGCGTTCACAGGGAATGTGCTTCCCAAGTCATCTGTGCACAATAGTCGCTGGCTGAGTCTGAACTCATGAGTAAGCTGTAATTATGGGATTAAGACTCCTAATTCATTTATTGGTGACTTTCAAATTCCATCACTTAAAAAAAAAACGCTTCTGTGCTCAGTGTTCAGAGAATGATAAGACAATTCATTATCATAATTTTTGAGAAGAAGCCTCCTTTTTCTCTGATCTCCCAAACAGCTGTATCTGATTCTAGAAAATCCCTCAACAAGGTTTAGAAATATTTTCAGGGAAGAATACATTTAGGATGAGTTTCTGAAAGCAACTTGGGAGGAAATCAGGAACACTGTCACTGTCCTCCCGCTGTTCATTGATTTGCTTGAGCGGGCCCAGTAACATCTCCATTGTGAAACTTGTTACTGTGTTTGGCATATCGAATACGTCATGGGGAGCTTGCCAGGCTTTGCTGTGCGGGCGAGATACTCTCGGTAACTTGCCGGGCTCTCTGAGAGGGACAGAGGAACAGAGGAATTGAACTCAGGTCGGCCATGTTGGCCGCTTGCAAGGCAAACACCCTACCCGCTGTGCTATCGCTCCAGCCCCAGGAACACAGCAAAGTCAATCAAGTACAAATATGATGTGAGCTACACAAGATCAACAACAAAATTTAAACAACACATTGCAACTTTGTTAGGTCTTTATTTTTACTGGCAGGACCCTACTAGTAACTGTAATTGGCAACTTTTTGGGCGAGTTATGGGGAGAGGGCACACCAGCGATGCTCAAGGCTTATTTCTGGCTCTGCACTCAGGGATCACTCCGGGCAGGGCTTGGGGGACCACATGGAGTGCTGGGCATGGAACCTGGGTCAGCTATGAGCAAGACAAGTGCTGTGCCCCCTGTCCGATCTCTCCAGCCCCTGTAACTACCTTCTTTGAGGGCCGAGAGCATGTACCATGAGATGATTAGATGGCACAGACTAAGCAACCTGACACAGAGCATCTGGGGGCATCACAGCTGTGCCTATCTCATGCTTTCATACTAGTCTGATCACAAATGTACAGATTTTCAGGATCACTAAGAGTTCTCCGCTGCTGTGCGTGGCGTTTATTCAAGGAAGTATCGCCAGACCAGGTAAATTAGTGACAGATGACATTCTGCAGTTAAGTCAAGACTGCCTCTTACCGAAAATGGAAAGGCAGCAAACATACGGATAATTCTTTCTCTGCGCCCACACGCAGCCCCTGCTGGGTATGCTAGCATCATCTACTCATCTAGTATTTTCTTCTCCCCCTGGCAGGGGATGGACACATGACTCTCTAAGTAAAGAGTGGGATTTAGGGTTTTTCTGAGTGCAGGGCAATGACTCAGATGGGGGAATGAATGGACAAACTAACACAGGCAGAAAAAGAAAAAGAAAACATTCCAAACCTCCTTTAATAGAATGTTCTTCATGACACCTCGCTGGAAATCAAGAGCTCGGTGAGAAGAAGTTCATTCTGAGGGTGAAAGACTTAGAGAAAACAGTAAGGCAATGTTTTGATCTGTCCCCACCCCAAGGATTTTCCTAAAAACCGGGGACCCTTAGGGAAAGGAGCCGAGCTTCCCAGCTGTGGCTCTGGAAAACAGCGAGTCCGAAGTGGCGCCAGCAGCCGTCAGGGTGCTGTGGAGCCCGCCAGATGGCGAGGCACTTCCGAGAGCGAGTGAATCTGTGTCCATGTCAGCGAGGGCTGGCGGTGTCTGGCGGCCTGGCCAGGAGCTCCTTTACCCTTTGATCACAGCGATCGGTCTGAGCTTAATGGCCTTCTTGCTGATGCCGGCATCGTGGCAGGTGTTCACCACGTCAGTCACGTTCTTATAGGACTCTGGAGCCTGCGGGAGGGGGCAAACTTTGTAAAAGCCAGTTTAGAGTGGAGCCAGGGAGTGGGGGTACTTTGTAAAAGCTTAGTGTGGAACCTCATAGGCTTCTGCATCCAGGGGACGACCACTTGGGGTGCCAGGGATCAAACCTGAGTCAGCCATATGCAAGATAATGTCCAATTATCTGTCCAAATGCTGTACTAATGCTCTGGCACCAGTATGTACTTTTTTGGTTTTGTTTTTGGGCCACACCTGGTAAAGCTCAGGGCTTACTCCTGGTTCTGCACTCCTGGTTCTGGACCATTCCTGAGGGGTTCAGGGGACCATATGGAGGTGCTGGGGAATCAAACCTGGGTCCACTAAAAGCAAAACAAGTGTCTGACCTACTGTATCATCTCTCTGGTCCCAAGGAACATGTACCCTCAGTTGACTTACACATTTCTCAAAATTTCTACAACATATTCATTTGTACCAATTAGGACAGTAGATGTCACTGAGTAAAACACACACTATCTGACTATACAGAAGCACGCCAAATCCTCCTGTTAGTGATAATTATGCTTGAATGACAGACACTGGAAATTCTGGTTTTCTCTATATTTTCAATTGTCAAAATCTTTTAGTCAAAATATTTTAAATGTCCTCCCTACAAGAGGAGCCAGTGAAAACCATCAAACACTCTTACGTACACATGTGTGTATCAGAATGCTTTTGTGCTTACACATTTTGTCATACATTTACATCTATTTCTGAGATGCCACCAAGAATAACCCTGTTCCTTCACACCCACACCATCCTGCCAACATTAGGATGATTCTCACGACAGACCCTTTCTTCTGTCTGAAGTCTGTGAAGATAACAGTCTCCAGGGCAATTCTCACAGGGTTCTGCACAGAACCCTTTCCACCAGCTCACCTCCACTCCCTCCCAACTTCTGAATCTTTCCCGCTGTGGCCCTTGAAGGCCTCCTGAGTCAATTCAGTGCCACCCCCCCCCCCCCCCCCCCGCACCCGCACACTCCCCTCTCCTTGTTCACAATGCAACTTGATCTCCCCCAAAGCATTTCCCCTGTATTTTCTCTTCTCCAGGCCCAGAGTGGGATGGGGGTCCTTGTTCTTCATGGTTCTTTCAGGCCATTCTCTCCGTCGTCGCCAGGCACCTCCAGGTTTGAGTCCTGCGACCAACATCTACACTGCCTACCTCTTCAAGTCTGCTAGTCTGAATTGAACAACTTCCCTCCAATGCACATATTTCTAAATTTCTCTCTTCAGCACATAAGCGTACTGGACCATGCAACTATCCGACTCAAAAATTCAACGTCTTCCCATTATTCCAGAGTAAAAGCGAACAGTCTTTCATAGAGATGAATATGTGGGGAAGGATGATTCACACCATCTGGCGCCCTCTACCTGCTGAACTTCATCTCTACTCTTGGCAGTTACTCTAGTTGTAAAATATTACGTGTAACTTGCCTCTGGTTTGCACACTTGCTTTTCTCCTTGGAACACCTGATGCCCTCTCCCTGAGCCCTTCACGTTTTACCCTTTTTGAGACTGTACCTGGGGCTGGAGTGATAGTACAGTAGGTAGGGTGCTTACCTGGTTCGATCCCAGCATCCCGTACAGTCCCCTACAAGCACTGCCAGGAGTGATTCCTGAGTGCAAAGCCAGGAGTAATTCCAGGAGTATGACCCCCAAACCAGACTACCACTGGGAACCGCAGCGATTGTACAGGGGGAAAGGAGCTTGCCTTGCATGGGCACTGACCCTGGCTTGATCCCCGGTGCCACAGATGGTCCCTGCATGCCACCCGGAGTGAGGGACCTCTGAGAGGGAATGGCTGCATCCCCTCTCCCCACTACAAGAACCTTCAAACAACCAAACAGGAAAACCAACCTGCCGGGCTCAGGGATGTGGCTCAGTGCTTGTGCCTGTCTGGGCTCACTCTCCAGCATCACAAAAGCCCACCCAAAGCACACCAGCTGTGTGAGGCGCGGGCATGCCCTGGAGGGGGCAGTGTGCTCCTAAGCTCTAGTGTTCTAAGCCAAGGAGGAAATGAATGATGAGCAATGGCTGCTCCCGGGCTCCTCTCCTTTCCCTCAAGCATCTGCACCTTGGCGAGTCTTGAACCCAGGAAAGTATTTCCCAGGGCAGTAACCACAATATCAGCAGGTATTCCTTTTCCTTTGGGAGTTTGGGAGGTGCTAGGGGTCACTCCTGGCACAGCTTCAGGGGTCGTATGTAGTGCCAGGGAGCAAGGGAAGTCAGCTGCACGCAAGACAAGTGCCCAGAGAGAGAACTGTTCTATCTTTCTTGTAGATATAGCTGAATGCATGAAAAAAGGTATCTAAACAGGCCAGTAAAAGTTACATCAAATATTAACAGTGGTTAGTTTAGGTTGGTGGAATACCAAATGTTTTGTTTTCTTCTTTATAAAACCTCTTAACATTATGTTCTTAAAATTAGGGGAAAAATAATTGTTATTAAAAAAATTAGCCTTTGTTATACTCCTTGACTCAGCAATTTTACTTTTGGGATTTCATTTTAATTATTGAAATATCTGGAGAAAAACTTCTTATAAGAAGATACTTATAGTAGCACAACTCTGGAAAATATTGAAATGTCCACTATGGGCAGAAACTTCTGGAACTTACCTAGTAAATTAAGGGATCATTTAAAAAATGACAATTTTATAATAATGTGCTGAACAAACAAAAAAATACAAACCCCCCAAAACCCACCAAACCAATAAAATGTAACAGCTAGTTAAAAGGTATACTATGGGAAAATGGCATTAAGTATTGTTAAAGAGGAGATACTGCTTGTTAGGGAACTGAAGCTCTGAATAACCCCCCCACCCCAATTTTTTAAAGGAGCTACACTGTTTTTGTTTTTTGGCCACACCCAGTGATGTTCAGGTCACTCCTGGCTCTGCACTCAGAAATCACTCCTGGCAGTGGTCGGGGACCATATGGGATGCCAGAGATTGAACCCAGGTCAGCTGCGTGTAGTACAAGTGCCCTACCTATTGTACAATTGCTCTGCTTCCAGGTACGCTTGAAAATTTAAGTGCAAGTATACACACTGTATAGAGAAAGGCAAACTGAGTCGGCACATGAACTAAAGTGATAGTACAGCAGGTAAGTATTTGCCTTGCATGGGGCTGACCCAGGTTCAATCTCCAATATCCCGTATGGTTCCTCAAGCACTGCCAGGAGTGATCCCTGAGCTTAGAGTCAAGAATAACCCCTAAGTATCACAGGGTCTGGCTCAAAAACAAAAAAAATAAAGAGTAGGCACAAACTATTTCAAAAGCTTAGTGAGGCTAGAGCGATATTACAGCAGGTAGGGTCTTTGCCTGCACAGACGACCTGGGTTAGATCCCCAGCATCCCATATGGTCCCCCGAGCATCACCATGAATGATTCCTGAGTGCAGAGCCAGGAGTAGCCCCTGGGCACAGGTGCGTGTGGTTCACAAAACCGAAAACAAAACCCCCAAAGCTTAGTAGTACAGAAAGACACTGCATGAAGGTTAAAAAACCATTCTCTCTCAAGACCTAGACTGGTGATGAGTCTCTAGAAATGATAGTAATGCATCAGGACCGAGGTTATTTAAAAAAAAAAATCAACCACAAAACTTCTTGGAGCTGGAGACAGAACAGAGTGTGAAGCACTGCCCTGCATGCAGCTGTGATGTTGGTTGGAATTCTGGCACCACATATGGTCCCCTGAGCACCAGAGGAGCAATGCTGGAGCACTGCCAGGTGCAGCCCAAGACTATCCTCCCTCCCCAAATTTCAACAACTGCTACTTTGGTGGCCTGGCACATGTGCAGTTTTGTATAAACATTTACCCACGTTTCACTTACCTCTTCCATGACCAGCTTGGGGGAGGCAACACGGATGGCAATTCCCATGTCTGCCAATTTGTCTAGGACATCCTGGAAATCTAAATTACGTCGAGATTTTGCTCGGGATAACGCACGACCCTAAAGTGGGAAGGAACAAAATTCACTAATAAATTCTCAGCTAAAATCTTTGTCCAACCCCAGTGATGACTTTGAAATCACAGGATGATATATGACATACAATCCTTTTTATTGTTTTTGTTTTGGGGCCACACCTGGCTGTTCTCAGGACTTACTCCTGGCTCTGCATTTAGGGACCACTCTTGATGAGCGGAGACCATATGGGGTACCAGGAATCGAACTGGGTTGGACACATGAAAGGCAAGCAGCATACCTTGCCTTCCTTAATTTTCTTAAACTTAAATCTTTTTTAAAAAAGGAGTGTTTTGTTTTGTCAGCTTTATCATCTATGTTTTCTTATAAACCTCATTTTTAGTCTTTCTGAAAACAATTTTTATCTATTGAGCATTATGTAGATTGTTTTGTGTTTTTAATTATGGTTTAACTTATAGACAGTACAACTATCATCACAAAAATATGCTTCTCAAAGCCCAGGGATGGGGCTGTGGCTGAGACTTGCCCGCAGGGGGGAGGGAGGCCTTGGGTTCCAGCCTCCTCATTACCCACTCGGCTGAGTACCATACTGGAAGCACTTGGCCGGGAACTCAGGGATCCATGTGTGGTGAAAAAACAATATCCACATCAAAAGGAAAGGGAGGAAAGGCGGTGAAGTCTGCCAGCCTTAGTGCTTCTGCCATCTCTGGGCCAGAGAATTCTCTGCTGTGAGAACTGTCTATCCTGCCAGAATTTTGATAGCATCCTTGGCCTTCACCTCACCCATGAGGCGTCAAATGGACTGGGGATGCCAGTACCCACACTGAAAACCCAAAGGGCCCGGAACAACACCCATGTGGAGGAGGAAGCAGATGTCCTAAGTAAGAATCAGAAGCACACAGCCAGGAGTAACACCTGAGTAATGCTGGGTGTGGCCCCAAAACAAACATCTAAGAATCAGAAGGGCCAGTGCCAGGACAGCAGGTGGGGTACCTGCTTTGCATGCGGCCCACCCAGGTTCCATCCCCAGTGCCTGAGCCCTTTGAGGAGTGATCCCTGGGCAGAGCCAGGAGTAACTCCTGAGCACAGCTGGGTGTGGCCCTTCAAGCCAAAACAAAAATAAACTCCCATTTTTATTGAGGGTCGTGATTTACAATACTGGTAACAGTAGTTTTATGCATACATTGTCCCAGCTCCACATTCACCAGCATGACCGCTTCCTCCAATGTGCCAGCCCCTTTCTTTCTGCCAATATAACTCAATTCTCTAGATCTGAGTTACAGATCCCACTGTCTCTGGCCATTTGCTATTATTATTTCCCTTACTATTATTTATTTTTTTTAATGAGTTCAAACTAATTTTTTTTTGTTTTTGACTTGGGAAATGCTTTATTTAATTTAAATTTCCAAGTATTTGAATTTTTCCTGTTTTCTGAGAGTGATTAATTCCCCCTTTAAAGCACTGCGGTTTGAGAGGACAGGCATGAACTTTTAAGATACGTTCTTGTATCCATTTATTTATTTACTGATTATTTTGTTTTTGTGTCATACTCGGCGATTCTCAGGCATTATTCCTGGCTCTGCACTCAGGAATTACTCTATGTGGTGCTCAGGGGACCATATAGGATGGTATGGGATATGCCTGTGATTGAATCTGGGTTGGTTGCATGCAAGGCAAAGACCCTATCCACTCTACTATCGCTCCGTCCTGTTGTATTCATCACTTACAAAAGTTTTTTTTTTTTAGTTGTCGTTTCTTTTGGGGACCATACCTGGTAGTGCTCAGGGCTTACTCCTGGCTCTGTGTTCAGGGATCACTCCTGACAGTGCTCAGGGTGCTGGGGATCGAACCTGGGTCAGCTATTTGCAAGTCCCTTACCCACCGTACTATCTCTACAACTACTAAATAAGGTATTATTGGAAGCCAGAAATGCCTTTTTAAAAAATGTATTGTCTAATTTGCTACAAAGGCACAATTAAACAGCTGTTATAGGAACAAATAGGCGAGGATTCTAAAGTGTTTCCTTACTGGTGCTTTCTTTACAGCAAGTTTAAGTATGCGGGAAATGTACAAACAGGTGCTGATTTGCAAACAAGGCACTGGCAAATATGCAAATAGGCATCTACCCTGAATTTTGAGTGGACCTACTAGTCAGGGGCCGGAGTGATAGCACAGCGGGTAGGGCGTTTTCTTTGCACGCAGCCAACACGGCCGACCTGAGTTCGATTCCTCTGCCCCTCTCAGAGAGCCCGGCAAGCTACCCGTGACGTATTTGATATGCCAAACACAGTAACAACAAGTCTCATGATGGAGACGTTACTGGGCCCGCTAGAGCAAATTGATGAACAATGGGAGGATTGTGACCGTGACTAGTCAGAAGGCACAAAATATGTAAATAACCAGTAGAAATGAACAGATTCAGGCTGAAAACAGGCTAGACTGAACCCAAACCTGCAATGTGTCAATGGCCGATTTGCTATGTGTGTCTTAATGCAAACCAGTGACTAAATCAGAGAATTTCTACATTAGTTCGTTTTCCTTACCGCTCCATGGCAGGTTGTTCCAAAGGTCTCAGTCATGCCTTGTTCGGTGCCAGTAAGGACATAACTACAGGTCCCCATGGTGCCACCAATGAGCACTGGCTGTCCTGTGAGCTGAGGAAGCACACAAACCAAGGAGGTTAAAACTGAGGAAAGCGGAGTCTTTTTATCAGTCATAAGTCGCTTGCCCCGGGAGACTGTGGGAGTAACACGGGCCTCTGAAGGCACTGCTCTCCTAATCACACTAACAAACCATTTGGATTCGATAATAGCCAGAAGCAGAAACAAGAGCCAGGAAAGCAGCAGAGATGAGAACGAGCAAAGCTCAGCTCAGCTGTAAGGGGGGAGTGTTCTCCGCAGGGCGCAGAGCCAGCAGCCTGTCCTCTCTCCTGTTGCCTTCCTCCCTGTGAGAGGGGCGTGGAGAGCTAAGCTTTCCACGCTGCCCAAGAGCAAAGGGGACGAGATTGCGTTTGATTCTTCCCCTGATCACTCTAGGAGGTTGGGGGTCACGTCTTAGCACTCGTCAATGGCGTAAGGCAGACTCACACGGGGATGAGGCGGGGTGGGTTGCTGTGTCAGAGAGCATGGGAGGGCTGTCCCGGAGCCTGCTTTCCTGTCTGTCAATCAGTCATGTCCCCTGCCCCCACAGCCAGACCCCCTGGCTAAGCACATACTTGGTAATCGACGGCGATGAGCGGGTGGTGAGGGGGGAAGGCACGGGTCGACCCCTTCCTGTGCACCAGTAGCGTCCGCTCCTTCCCGTCCACCACGTGCTGCTCCACCTTGGCAATATTGTGGGAGACGTCATAGATCACGTGAAGGTCCAGGTCATCGGGGGTCGTGTTGAAGACCTTGGCAAAGGCCTGGGAGAGAAGTTTAAGGAAGTTAAAGAAGCGCAGCCGGAAACAGGCTCAGCAGAACTCCTGAGGGATCGCAGCGAGCCTGTCCCTGAAAGGAGCAGGAATTTAGGGGTTCAGAATAGCTGAGCATTTGTCTTTAAGAAAGGGATTTTATTTTTATTTATTTAGTTATTTATTTTGCTTTCTGGGTCACACCCAGCGATGTTCAGGGGACCGTATGGGATGCTGGGGATCGAACCTGGGTCGGCCACATGCAAGGCAAATGCTCTCCCTGCTGTACTATTGTTCCGGCCCAAGGAAGGGATTTTAAAAAAAAGCATCTTGACTACGTGGCTAACTTTGCTCCATCGACTCCCACTCTGGCTGATACTTAGCGCCACCCTTCAGCCTCAGCCTCCTCAGGGAACCTGGTTTTTCTTGTCCCCAAATTCCCCACGCCTATTACCCTGACGCATTTGTCTGAGCAAACATCAAAAGCGTGTCACGTCTCAAGAACAATTCAGAACAGAAAAGCAACTTGCAGGGGTACCTGGCGGGTGAGGAAGGTCATGGAGGAGCGGTTGACCCAGGCGTAGTTTCCCGCCGCTGCCATTCCCTTCAGGTAATCCTGCCCCTCCGGGGAGGCGATGCGCGCACAGGCCAGCTGACGGTCATTGACCACGATCTTGTCTCTCTTCATGGCCTTTTCCATAGCCACCAGAGCATCTGGAGCAAGGGAGCAAAGCGGTTGGTCTTCTCCTTGTGACTCAGCTTCCCCGCTAGAAGGGAGGCTCTGTTCAAAGTCCTCTGGGGCAGCCGAGCTGGTCCAAGACTGGCAGAGGACCAGAGAGTCAGGCTGGATAACCAGCACTGCTGGGAGGACTCCCCACCCCCCAAGCACAGAGAAGGCCCTGAGCAACTCTATGGTGGCCCTTAACATACACATTTAAAACCATTCTGCAAGAAAATAAGTAAAATGGAACTTTCCCTTGGTAATGTTTTAGTTCATCATTTGCTTGGTTAAAATATCCCAGAAAACCTCTGTCATCTGCACATGCTCTGTGGGATTCAAGGCAATAAGGAGGGTATCTTACCCTCCAGACAGTAGGAAGGGAGTGGAAGAGACACAAACAGGAGCCCACTGATTCCTTCCTGGCACACGAATGAGCGGAGGTCAAACACTACTATTTAAAGGGACTGGAGAGGTAGGAGAGTGGGGAGGGCATTTGCCTTGCACTCAGCTGATTTGGGTTTGAGCCCTGGTATCCCATACAGTCCCCTGAGCATGCCATGAATAATTCCTGAATGCAGTGCCAAGAGCAAGCCCTGAGCACCATGGGGTGTGGCCCCCCAAACCAAAACAAGACAGTCATTTAAAAATAAAACCACAGGGATCAGAAAGACAGAACAGTAGACAAGACACTTGCCTTGCATGTAGCCGCCCCTGGTTTGGTTCCTAGCACTGCATATGGTCCCCCAAGTACCCCTGGGCCACTCCTGAGCAGAGACAGGAATAGGCTGTAGGCCCTACCTGCTGTGGCCCCCAAACCAAATAAATAGTGAAAGAGAAAGTGTTAACATGTATTGAAAATGAGAGTATTTTAAGATTTCGAGGCTGCAGATGCTTTCCCTTATTATGTATTCCACCACTGGCTTTTTAATCTGCACTTTTCCTTCTCCTAGTTTTTGGGCCATACCTAGCAAAGCTCAGGCGTTACTCCTGGCTGTACTCAGGGGACCATATGAGAATCTCCAAACCATCTCCCTGACCCTTAGTCCCATTTGAAAAAATAAATAAAATAAAGCCAACCAAAGAAAAATTAAGGTGCTATGAGGTTATTGGATTTGTTCAGGCCACAACTGCAAGGTAGGAGAATCAGGGTAAAAGCCCACAGGGCACTCCCATCGCTTTCTCTCCTGCATGTCTACATGGATTCCCTTGAAATGGAACATTTCTGAGTTACCTTGCTGGAGAGACCAGGGCGGGGTGGTGGGGAGGAGGAAGCACCGTTTCAGTCTTTTATGCAACATTCTAGAACTGAGCCCAACGTTAGGGTGAGAACGTACCTGTGGCGACCTGGTGGCCCAGGCCTCTGCTTCCGCTGTGGATCATCACACACACCTGTCCCTTATGGTCAATGCCCATCTTCTTGGCGGCGTATTCATTGAAAATTTCATCCACAACCTGGATTTCTGCATAGTGGTTGCCGGCTCCCAGGGTCCCTAACTATAAATATGAGAATATCAAGTGAAAGAGTCAGAACAAATCTATGTAGGGGCTGGGGTGATGGTACAGTGTTTGCCTTGCACACAGCCAACCCGGGTTTGATCCCCGGTATCCCCTACGGTCCCCAAGAGTAATTCCTGAGTGCAGAGCCAGGAATAACCCAAGTATTACCGGTGTGGCCTCACCACCCCAACTCCCCCCAAGAGAAAAGAACAAGTCTACTTAAAAGGTACACAGGTAAGAACTACCAACCGTAACAGATAGGCTGCAGTGTCTCACACAACAAAGTAAATATAAGCCTCAGGAATTTAAAGTAACAGACCAGACAATAAGAACTAGAGTTGGGGCTGTAGCAACTACATTGAGAGTAGGATGTTTGCCTTGCACATGGTTGGTGCGGGATCGATCCCCAGCACACCCTAGGGTCCTCTGGATCTAGCCAGGAGTGACATCCAATTGCGGAGCCAGGAGTATGTCCTGAGCACTGCTGGGTGTGACCCCAAAACAAGAAAGAAAAGCAAACAAGGATAATTGTGTTTAACTGTGGTTAACTGTCATTAACTGCTTGTGGTACATACATTTAAAAAAAAACTATTTATAAACCAAAACTCTGATTATCAAAAGGTTCTGAACACATTTTGAAGCATTTTGAGAGGGGCTGGAGAGATGGCTCAGAGGGCTGAGGACCTGCTTTGCATGAGGAGTTCAATCCCAGGCACTGCACAGTCAGGAGAAACTGCCACAAACTCCCCAACCCCGCCTGCAAAGAACCCTCAATGTCACCAAGGCCCATGTCCAAATTATTTTTGCAGGAATGGAGTGACAGGACATGGGCTAAGGCATGTGGCCAGCTTGGGTTTGATCCCAAACACCATAAAGGGTCCTCGTAGTGGCATGAGGAATGATTGTGGAGTGCAGAGCCAGCCAGCCCTGAGCACATCTGGGTGTGGCCCCCAAACAACCACCAAACACTTCTCGGCATTAAAAAGTGTAAAAGTATAAACGCAGAGCCCTGGAAGTGTTACCTGAGGCAGGCCTCTTTTCTTGGCCCTGGCAGAGACCTTGTTGGGGTCGGCCTGCAGCATCCTCCCGTACTCCTCACAGTGCTCCTTGTCCTCTGCCCAGGCATAGCCTTCCCGAAGGGACCAGTCCACGCCCATCTCCAAGGCCTCCTCCAGGTCTCTGCGCGAGTCAGAAGAGGCCAGTCATGTGCAGCCAGGAAGACCAATGCGTGGACAGACAGGTCACAGAACGGAGGCCACACCCCGCTTCCTGCCTATCTCTCTACGTTCCACGAAGGACATCGTGGCTTGACTGCAGCTGCATTTTGAAGCTGAGGGACACATGTGCCCTCTTCTATTTAATTTTCAGCTTCAGAAATATGTAATACTATTTTCCTGGCTGGGGGAATAGCTCAAAGGGCCTTGCATGCCGGATGCCCAAATTTGATTTGTGGCTTCGAATCACCTCCTATGCTCAGCTGGGAGTGAACTCTGAGCACCAAGACAGGAGTACCCTGACCACCGTGGGGCATAATCCACCTCCTACCTTCCTACCCCCCCACCAAAAAATTGTAACACTCAGCTGAAAAACACATTCAGTGCAATCATTCAAATCGGAAGGTTGTTGGACTGGAGCAAACAGCAGGTAGGTTGTCTGCCTTGCAAGCAGCCAACCCAGGTTCGATTCCTATGGTTCCCTGAGCACTATTAGGAGTAATTCCTGAGTGCAGAGCCAAGAGTAACCACTGAGCATCACCAAGTGTGACCCAAAAAGCCAGTAAAATAAAATAAAATGAAGTTGTTTTTTTTTTTTTAAAGGAAGGTTGTGCTAAATAATAGACTCACTGATCCAAGGCAGTTCAGTTCAGAATCACAGCTCTGAAGCCACAGGATCTTCGCTGAGACTCACCAGACTTTCTATTGACTGTCTTACCTCTAAACCTCAGTTTCTTTTCTTGAAAATTATGGATAGATTAAGATAACATCTAGATGAAATGACATGGTACATGTTCAAAACAACACAACATCTTACATATAAGAAGTGCTCAATAAAAGTTAGTGGATGACATTCTAAAATATTACTTTGTATCAAAGTTTGTAAGAATGGGGGCTGGAGCAATAGCACAGCGGGTAGGGTGTTTGCTTGCACACAGCCAACCTAGGTTCGATTCCCAACATCCCATATGGTCCCCCGAACACCGCCAGGAGTAATTCCTGAGTGCATGAACCAGGAGTAACTCCTGTGCATCACCAGGTATGATCCAAAAACCCAAAAAAAAAAAAAAAAAAATGGGGGGCTGCGCCGTAGTACAGGGGGAGGGCGTTTGCCTTGCATGCGGCCAACCAGTATGCAATATGATCCTGTATGATCCTCCAAGCACTGCCAAAGTGCTCATCCAAATGAATGCCAAGTGATCCAGGAGTAATCCCTGAGTGCAGAGCTAGGAATAATAACCCCTGAGCATCACTGCGGTGTGACCCAAAACTCAAAATAAATAAATAAATAAATAAATAAAAGTTTGTGAGCTGATAATGCCTGTTGTAACCAGGCTGGTCCTCGTATTCATGAGACCAGCTCACAGCTGCTTCCTGGAAAGTATGGAGCAACACCCCTTTTCCAAGGGTCTGTAGGGGACAGAGGTGAGGGTCAGGTGGCTCTCTCTATGGAAAGACGTGCTCTTACTTGGCATTCATCGGGATGACGCCTTTGGATCCGACGCCGACAGGAATGTGGTCAAACATGGCCTGGGCCAGCTGCTCCTTGACGGGCTGCACGTCGCTCTCGTCCAAGTTGGTTCTCAGCAGGCGCACCCCGCAGTTGATATCGAAGCCAACACCACCTGTGAAACACAGCCAGTCGGTAAACATCAGTGCAGTGGGTGGCTGAGAAGCAGCTCCCATGGTTTCCCATCACTGAGCTAGGGCTAAAAAGGAGACGTTGTTTCATAGGTGTTTACTGTTTCTTCCAGGCAGGCCTTGGTGTATGCCATGGCTGCAGCCTAGCCCTCCCAGATGTGCCCGCCAGCCCCACCCCAGTCGCTTTTCCTCAGGCAACAATGACTCATCATCAGTGTTCACTGGTCTTTTTTTGCTTTTTGGACACACCTGGCAATACTCAGGGGTGACTCCTGGCTCTGCACTCAGGAATCACTCCCTGCAGTGCTAGGGGACCATATGAGATGCCAGGGCGTTGAACGTGGGTCGGCCGCATGCAAGGTAAATGCCCTACCCACTGTATTATTGCTCTGACCCCTGGTTTGTCCTTTTATTTTGAATTTTTACATCCTTATATTGTATCCACAGGTGAACCGAAGTGATACTTGCCTTTTATCTCTGATTTAGTTTGCTTTATGTAAATTCAAGGATTTAATGGAAAATTAAATTGTGGATACAATTCTCTCAATACCAACAAGAAAATAAATGACAGGAGATCAGGAGGCTGAGAGACGGGCCTAGGAGCAGGGCTGCTCTCTTCAGAAACCTGGAGTGCAGATGCGGCCGCCTCACCTGGGGACACCACTGCTTCAGGGTCGCTCATGTCAAAGGCCGCCATGTTGCCAATAGCAAACCCGTATCCTGAATGGACATCAGGAAGGCCGATAGATCTCTGAAAAAAGAAATTTAAAATAAAACAAATGACATACAACTTTCTCCACCTGAACTCTGGCTGTTGAAGGGTTTGATACTACGTCTCAAATAGGCTGTGGGCTGACGCACTCTCCACATCTAGTCTCAAGAAATCTTCTCTGTCGGTGGAAATCAGGTATAATGCTCTTCACTATAAAGCAAATAGGGGGAGCGGTAATCCTTGTGAGACCTGACTGTTAACCAAGGACCCCTGAAAGGGAAAAGCCTCAATCTAACACGGTACTCGGAGGATCTCCAATCATTTACCAGCAAAATGTGGTCCATTTGTTTGTATGAAGAGCCTATCATTTCTGGGGTCCCAGAGGTACCCCAGGGAATGCAGGTCAGACCTATGAGGCCACGTGGAGATACCTGGACACAAGTTCCTAAATGCACAAGTCATGTCTTCATCACCGCCACCCCTCACTCCGCCAAGCACAGGACTTGGCAACAGGCGCCAAACAATGACCTGACGTGCTTTAACACCTGCTGTTAATGGAACCTAAATAAGGGCTGACTGTGCCCTCCAGGTCTACCCGTTGTCACCATCCTCTTGCCATTCCAGTCGTGGCTGTTACTCTTCCACCCCTCTCCTCAGTCCTAACCCTTGAACTTCTGCCCACTTCTTTTTTTTTGGGGGGGGGGTTACCTGGCAATGAATAGGGGTCACTCCTGGCTCTGCACTCAGGAATTACTCCTGGTGGTGTTTGGGAGACCATATGGGATGCTGGGAATCGACCCCAGGTCGGCTGCATGCAAGGCAAACACCCTACCCGCGGTGCTCTCGCTCCAGCCCCTGCCCATTCCTTTTTAACCATCCTTAGAAGTACAGCCAGTGCAGCCTATAGCTGCAGTACACTTAATCAGAAATAATGATGTAAGGTGACAAGAAAGTAAAAACAGCCAGGGATGTGGTATGCCCAGTAACCAGCACAACAGAAAACCAAATAAACAAAAACTCATCTGAAACCCAACGTATACAAAATCCCCAAACCAATCAAAATGCCTCCACCAGATGACAGAACTTCTTTAAAGTGATGTTTATGGATTCTAGCCAAAGCAACCAGAAGCTGAGCTATGCCCCAGGCTCTGATGATTTCTAGGATCGACAGCCACCACACATCGATCCATCCATCCAACAGCGTAGAGAAGGAAAGAGGCTGGCGAGTGCAGAAGTGGACTCACATGAACAATCCCAGGCAGGGCTGCCACGTTGCCAATCTGCTTCATAGCAGGCAGGAAACCTCCAACCCCTGTACACAAACATTCCAAGTTAGAAAACATGAGAACATGTTATTCTTTCAGCTTTAAGTCTAATCCTATTTCTAGATTGCCCCGAATTAAGGAGTGGTGAGGATGACTAAAACAAGAAGCCCGAAAGGATGTCTAAGATAAAGATGGAGAGGGAACCACGTCCAGAAGGCAGCAGACCCAGAGGGTGTGGGGGTCAGCAGCCTGTATGCCTGAGAGCCTCTTACAAATGCCACACTGGGAGTGGCAAGCCCGATATGTGTGTGTGTGTGTGTGTGTGTGTGTGTGTGTGTGTGTGTGTGTGTGAAGCTTCCTTGGGGCCAGAGCTTGCCTTGTGTGTGGTAAAGGTGTTTGTCTTGCACATAGCCGACCCAGGTCAATCCCTAGCATCCCATATGATCCTGAGCCAGGAGTTAGCCCTCAGCTTGGCGGGGTGTGGCCGTCAAACAGACAATCAAAAAAAACCAAAAACCAAAAACAAAAACGCAACAACAAAAAAGGGAAAAAACAGCAGGAGCCTGAGATATAGTACAGGGGTTGTTTGATTTGCATGATGCCAACTCCAGTTCGATCCCTGAGCACCACAGGTGTGGTCCCAATTTCCACCCCACCCACTCTCCTCAAAAAAGCAAAGACAAACATCTGAAATCACCTGAAGTTAGGAGATAGCTAGGGGCACGCATACCCTTGAAACTGCAGGACCCCCAAACATCACTAGGTCTGGCCCTGGTGGTCCCCAGTACAGGGGTCCAAGAAATACAGTGTCCTTGGGCCCGAGTGTTGAACCACCTGGCCAGGTTGGCAAACAATCACTGAGAGTGGCTTTCAGGCCCCCCAAGACCACTTAGTTCTGGTCCCCATCTCCACTGGTCCCCGCCACCTCCAAAAAGGGGAAAAGAAATCAAGACTGGTTTACTGTAAGCAGTAAGGAAGGGCAGTGTGGGGGTGAGACCCCGACAGGCAAATGTACCACTCCTCGGTACGTGCCAGAGACAGTACAAGGGTTAAGACATTTGCTTTGCACGTGGCCCACCCAGATTTGATCCCTGACACCACAGACAGTATTCCTCCCACCCCCCAGCACCTCCAGGATCAGTGACCCCAGAGTGCAGAGCCGGGAATAAGCCCTGAGTACCACGGGGTATGGTTCCCCAAACCCCGAAACCAAACATTTGAAAGAGCAGTCAGGGTCGTGCCTCTACTGTCAATTACAGGCTGTGCATATGTGGGGCCTTGGGAAAAAAATGTCAACAAAAATCCTAGATAACTAGGGTTTGGCGAGGCCAGTCAGTGTACAGCTAATACTGGCTCACTAAGGGCCCTGCGCATACTTGGATGAACTGCGGTGAGCCCTTACTGAGCCTTGACTCAGGGTCTACAAAATGGAGACAGTGTCTCCTTAGATTTGCAAGTACCTAGCACAGTGCCTGGCACCTATAAGCACAGTTAATAGTAGCCCTTGTTACTCTTGTCTTAGTTTTGCTGAACAAAAAAATCAACTAGATTCTCCCAGTTTCAAAAGAACTCTACAAGGTCAGGTTGCTAATATGGCTAATATGATTATCACCAAAAAAGCAACAGTGACTTTTTGGTCTCATTTCAAGTACTGACTGTTCCGTTGACAATACTTTCATATAACTTGGGAGGGGTGGGTCCTCCACACCCAGCTGTGATTAGGGTTCACTCATGGAGGCGCTCAGACTAGATGCAGCATAGGGATAAAGTCCAGGTTTGCTGTGTGCAAGGTCAGTGTCTCACCTGTTGCACCAGCTCTCCAGTGTCAATGTTTGTTTTGTGCCATTCAGTGGTGCTAAGGGTTTACTCCTGGAGGGGATCTGGGGTCCTTATGGGATGCTGGGTACTGAACCTGGGTTAAGCTACATGCAAGGCAAGTGCCCTACCCTCTGTACTACTGCTCCAGTCCCAACCTTTGTATTTATTTATTTTGCATTTTGGGTCACACCCAGCGATGCACAGGGGCTACTCCTGTCTCTGCACTCAGGAAATCACTCCTGGTGGTGCTCAGTGGACCATATGGGATGCTAGGAATCAAACCCGTGTTGCCCGTGTGCAAGGCAAATGCTCTACCCACTGTATTATCACTCCAGCCCCAACTTTTCTATTTTTAAATAGTTCTTTGAATCGCCTTCTTTTTTCAGGCCACAGGAAAGACACTTCATGCACTACTCTTGTTACATACCACCACCTCGGCAGGCATTCCGTAATTCCTCAAACATTAATTTTTCCAGAGAATCATTCACATAGAAGACACCTTCAACCTGGGACCAAAGAAAAAGACAAAATTATTTCTGAACACATATACAAGATACACAAGCACGGAATATAAACACTGCAACTCTCACTTTGCTTTGTCCTATAAAACCCTTATAAAACCAAAATAAATAAAAATGTTGTGTGCATGCTTGAATTCTTCCAATTATGCTCTGATGTCAGATGTCAATATAGATGATTCAAAATTTCAGACTACCTTAAATGCTTTCCATCAAAATCATGCATAGTCCCATCTTTCTTTTTTGGTTTTTGGGCCAGAACCAGCAGCACTTGGGGGCCATATGGGATGCCAGAAATTGAACTCAAGTCAGCAGGCGTAAGGCATATGCCCTACCCATGGCTCTACTGTCTCTCCATCTCCTAGAAAGTCGCATCTTTATTTACTTATTTATTTGGTTTTTGGGCCCATCCAGCAGTGTTCAGGGGTTACTTCTGACTCTGCACTCAGTAATCACTCCTGCCTGTGCTTGGGGGACCATATAAGATGCTGGGGATTGAAGCTGGGTCGGCCGCGTACAGGGCAAATGCCTAAATCGCTATTATGTTTAAATACAGAATATTTTTTTTTCAATGCTCACAAATTGTTTTGCATATTCTTACTAAACGGCACATTTAAGAGTTTGAAGTTAAAACACCTGTGTGTAGTGCTGCAGAGGTCAAGGTAGTTGCCCCGCATGTGACCAATGCAGGTTTGATCCTCAGCATCTCATACTGTGCCCTGAGCACTAATAGGAATATCCCTGACCAAAGAGCGAGGAGTAAGCCTGTGCACAGCCAGGTGTGCCCTGGAAACCAAAATAAATAAAAATGTTGTACGCATGCGTGACTTCTTCCAATTATGCTCTGATGTCAGATTTCAATATAGATGATTCAAAACTTCAACCTCTAAACATGAGGACACAGTCATGGAGCCTTTCTGTACATTTTCTGTGCATACCAAGTGTTACTCCTGGCACGTCACTGTGTCCAGCATTGATCTGCACACCGATGCCGCCTTTGAAAAGCAGTGAGTACCTCAATTTTAATGTCTGGCTAACCAAGTGCTCCGTGGTATGATTTACATAATAATCTTGAGAGGGGATAGCAGCTTGGTGAAAGGGAATGCCCAGTCCAATTATGTAACACCAGAACATGTTTTTCAAATCAGTGATCAAACACTATAAAGGAGCTACACGTCACACAAGAGCAGAAGACTTAACCCTTTCTTAACTGGGCAAGAACTGGAGAGGCAGCTCAAAGGGCTGGCGCCCATGCTTTGCGTCCTGGAGCCCGAGTTCAAGGGTTCGATTCCTGCGCAATGCCCAACCTGGGCTCCTAAGACTAAACGAATACTTCCTAACCACAGAGGGAGGGGTGGGATGGGTGTATGTGTGGGGGGCGAGGGGGGGGATACTGGGGACCTTGATGGTGGGAGGGAGATGTGCACTGGTTGGGTGATCGATCATTGTATAACAGAAACTCAAACAGGAAAGCTTTGTAACTGTATCTCACGGTGATTAAAAAAATAAAAAAAAATCAACATTCTGAATAAATAAATTAAAAAAAAAAAAAAGGAAAAGAGAGAAAACTTCCTAACCTTTCTGCTTGGCTAAAAAGATCCTCCCCCTCAGAGCCACACAGAGTTAGGGGAAAAGACAGCTCAGACAGAGAAGGGAGCACCAAATAAAGGTATTGGGAGGATCCTCCCAGGATGGGAGATGCGTGCTGATAGTAGACTCTAGACCAAACGTGAATGCCACTCAATTCCTCTTTTGCAAACCACAACACCCAAAAGGAGAGAGAAAACAAAGGAGAATGCCCTGCCACAGAGGAAGAGTGGGAAGGGGGGGGATGGGGGATGGGAGGGATACTGGGATCCGTGGTGGTGGGAAATGGGCACTGGTGGAGCGATGGATGGGTACGCGAACATTGTATAATCGAAACCCAAGCACAAAAATTTGTAAGTCTACAACTGTACCTCATGCCGTTTCAGTAATAAAAATTAAAAAAAAAAAAAAGACCTTCCCACGAGAGAGCCTTAAGAGGCTGAAAAGGGTCTCCGGGACGTCCGGGGAGCCAACCCCTCCCCCGCCACCCCGCCCCAGGTCGGTGCCTGGTCGGGAAGATTTCAACGCTCGGCTCCCCCGGGTGGGGGGGGAGGAGTGTACTTCTCGGCACCTTAGAAGTCCCGGTCCCGACAACTTTGCTCATCAAGGCTAAGGATATTAAAGATCATTGCAATCATGTGACCAAAACTATAAGAGGAAACTTTATTATTATTATTATTTTAAGAAAGAAAGAAAGAAAGAAAGAAAGAAAGAAAGAAAGACACCTCAACGGCCTAAGCGAAAAAAAAATCTGGCGGCCCGACCTCACCCAGGCCGCCTTCTTCGAACCCGCTCCCGGTTCAGAAGACGCTGGCGCGGGGCGGGAAGCCGGAGACGCCCCTCCCTCTCCCGCCCACCCGGGAGCGGGCTGGGCGCGCGGGGGTCGCTCCCGGGGGCGCGTCGCCCCCTCCCCGAGGAGGCCCCGCCGTCGCCGCCGCCGCTGCCTCACCTGCATGTTGGGCACGAAGCCCTTTTTGATTCTCCAGCAGTTCTTGTTGATCTTTTCCAGGAACTGCAGCTCATCGTTGTAGTTGCGACTCATGGTGGCCACGACGGGGGCGACCAGGCCCGGGGTCCGTTAGGAAGATGAGGAGGAGGAGGAGGAGGAGAAGGAGGAGATGCAGCCGCTATCTCAGCCGCTACCGCCGCGCCGCGCCTCGTCCCTCTGGAGGCGGCACCTCCTTCCGCAATCCGCCGCGCAGGCGCAGTGCGCGCTCGGCCGGCGCCGCGACGGGCAGCGCTGAGGCTCAAAACTCCTCGCCCCAATGCGCGCGCGTTCTCTCCTCTCCTCTCCTCTCCTCCCCTCTCCTCTCCTCCCCTCTCCTCTCCTCCCCTCCCCTCCCCTCCCCTCCCCTCCCCTCCCCTCCCCTCCCCTCCCCTCTCCTCTCCTCTCCTCTCTCTCAGAAACCCAGCCGTTTGTTACTGTCATCTAGTTGTTTTCCCTTTTAAAAGTGCTTTTAAGAGAAAGTCATGGAATTTGCTTAGAAGTGGATGGACATGGAGAATAGCCTGCTAATTGAAGTGAGTCAGAAGGAGAGGGACAGACCTAGAATGACACACATAAATGACTCCTTTGTGGACTATAGAATAACATAATATGAGACTGATACCCAAGTACAGGTGAGACGAGTGTCAGGAAGATCTCTCCACGGTTGGAAGTTGGTCTCATGAGCTGAGGGAGAAGGCAGCTGGGGGTAGAGAAGGGATCACTAAGTCAATGATGGTTGGAGGGGTCGATCAGGATGGGAGATGTGTACTGAAGTAGACTAAGAACCAAACATGATGACCTCTCAGTATCTGTATTACAAACCATGATGCTGGGAAGTAGAGAGGGAGTAAGAATGATTGTTTTTTAATGTAGGAATACTGCTATTTACACAGCCATTGATTAAAGCTGATTGAATTGGGCATGAATTCCACATTACTTTTTTTTTTTCAAATTTTTTTTTTAAATTTATTTATTGAATCACTGTGGGAAAGGTTACAAAGCTTTCAGGTTTATGTCTCAGTCATGCAAATATCAAACACATTTCCCTTTACCAATACTTATTTTTTACCCTGAAGAACCCCAATAAAACCCCACCCCCCACCCCTCCCCGTCCCTGTGAGGCAGATGAATTCTAGTTAACACTCTATCTGCTTTGATTAGATTCATTGTTTCAATAAGATTCACCACTATTATTTAGAGTTTACCCCCCCCCCCCCCAAATCAGACATGCTGAAAAAGCATTGTGAAGTGATTTGCTTTCTACAGCTGGGTTCAAGAATTAAATGTTGGTTTTGGACTTCTGCTATTTTACCTGTTGACCCTGGAAGTATTTCTACTGAAAGTCAGATAGTTAAGAAATTGGTTTCTGTGTTCTGGAGTCGTGGCCGTGCTGGAGAGCCGCTCGCGGGGGGCAACTGTTGACCTCGGTAGGGCGTGAAGGGCGGAGCGAAACGCCCCCCTTCCCATGAGGTTTTAGTCACCCCCACACTCCCGGCTCATACCTGCTGTCCACAAGGCTCCCATTCCACATTACTTTTTTTAAAACATTTTTTAATTAGATATCCATGAGATAGACCATTACAAAGCTGTTCATAATTCGATTGCAGTCATCCATCCCTCCACCAGTGTAAATTTCCCACCACCAATGTCTCCCTGTCCCCCCTTTCCCCACTACCATCCCCCAACTCCCTACCTCCTGACCCCTACCGACTCTCTCTCTCTCTCTCTCTCTCTCTCTCTCTCTCTCTCTCTCTCTCTCTCTCCTTTTCCTTTTATGCATTATGGTTTGCAATATAGGTTCCAAGAGGTCATGGTGTTTGTTCAGGACATTTGGTATTTTTATCTGGATGGTAAGACTGGAGTAGCTTTTCAATTGGGTAGAGGCTTTGGGATATGGATGTTGACTGGTGAAGCTTCCAGAAGTACAGGGAAGTGGGGGGAGATAGCCCATCCCAACCCCAAGAAGGCCTGGAGATTTCAGACACAAAACCTGCATACCATAATTTCTAGCAAATTATATCTTGGTGAGGTTCGTCCTGAGATGGTGAAGTCAGACTGGGAGTATGGCAGCATTTTAGGATTGTGGAAGCAAGCAGCTGCTGGGGGCTCTGCTTGGGTGGGCCCCAGGGCAATTTGGCTCCCTCTGATTTACTTTGGTCTGTTCAGCTATGCGTGGGTCTGAGATTAATGGTGGCTTTTGATCTTCTTCGAGATTTATCTTTGGGTCTCTGTAATAAGGCCAATAATTAAGCTTGCATAGCTGAGCTGGAGGTGGTTTGTGGGCATGGCTCCCACATACCTAACTTTTGGTTGTTTAATCTCTCTCTCTCTTTCTTTCTTTCTTTCTTTCTTTCTTTCTTTCCTTTCCTTTCCTTTTCTTTCTTTCTTTCTTTCTTTCTTTCTTTCTTTCTGTTTTTTTCTTTTTGGGTCACACCCGGCGATGCACGGGGATTCCTCCTGGTGGCTCTGCACTCAGGAGTTACTCCTGGCGCTGCTTGGGGCGCCATATGGGATGCTGGGAATCAAAACTGGGTTGGCCACGTAAACACCCTACCCACTGTGCTATTGCTCCAGTCCCTTGGCTGTTTAATATCTTGGTAAACTTGGTAAATCCCAAGTTGTTGGGATCCAGCCAAAGGCACAGCAACAATTTTGGGGTATCAGGAAGCCTGAAGGTACCATCAGGGTGCTGATGCACTTGCCCCACAGGTACAGGTTGACCTGTCGGTGGCACCATGCCCCCGTAAGCAGGAAATTGTCTGCCATAGAGGCAGGGGGTGGAGTGGGGTGGGGATGGCGGGAGGGATACTAGGGACATTGGTGGTGGAAAATGTACACTGGTGCAGGGATGGGGTTTGATCATTGTGTGACTAAAATTCAATCATGAAAACTTTATAACTGTATCCCATGGTGATTCAATTTTTTAAAAAAGTGTTTTTTAGCACTTCAGAAAGCACTGCATCTGCATTAGGTCCAGTTGCTCTAATTAAATGTTTGGAATTATCATTCCCCACAGATGGGAATTGGGAAAAGATGTATGCAGTGGTGAAAAAGAAAAGTGTGGATACATAGCATAGCTGAAACACAATGCCTTTGTAGTTGCCTAGTTCAATTCTTTTCAAGCTGGAGAGACAACTGAAGGGGCTGGAGAACCCAGAGTGCATTTCTCAAGGCCGGGATTTGATCTCGATACCACACAGACCCCACTGGGTGTGCTGACCCCGCTCTTCCTCCAACAAATAAAACAAAATAATGATCTTTGTTTTCAGGAAGGTGCACGCCAAAGAAACAGGACAGTTTGCCAGTTGTCCCAGCACTATGGGGCATCAGTTTTGGCCAAGATGTGCATTCCCAGGAGACCTGGGAAGTGACCACTCTGTGATCAGGCTTTGTGGTTTGTTTGTGATCAGAAGGTTCGCTTGTCTAGAGTAATGGCTGAACTTTCTGCTGGAATAGCTAGTCCTACTTTAGGTTAAAGAAGAGAAATTCTGGAGCTGGAGAGGAGAATTAGGAGGTTAGGGTGAGGTGCTCCTAAATGCATGATCTCATGCACCACAGGGGACCCCATCACACCAAACACAGAGCTCAGTCATGTATTTAAGCAGGTGGTCCACCAAACCCAAACTAAAACCAACCACACAAAGGAGACCATATGTTGCTTAATGAGATCATATGTGTTGCTGAAATTGAACTGGGGTTGGCTGTGCACAAGACAAGGACTTTATCTCCCATATAATCTCTCTGAACTTGATTTCTTTTTCTTGCCTGGTTGTTGTGATAAGCATTTAAAAAACTGTTTTGATGGGCTGGAGCAATAGCATAGCGGGTAGGGCGTTTTCCTTGCACGAGGCCAACCCGGGTTTTATTCCCAGCATCCCATATGATTCCCTGAGCACTGCCAGGGGTAATTTCTGAGTACAGAGCCAGGAATAACCCCTGTGCATCGCTGGATGTGAACCAAAAAGCAAAAAATAAAATAAAATAAAAAATAAACTGTTTTGATGAAAATGCCCTGTACCTGATCTCAGAGGAAAGCCTTTCATTTTCCCACCCATTAGTATGATGTTGGCTATGTGTTGTAAATTACTGTCTTGAAGTATGAGCCTTCAATATCTATTTTGTTGAGAGTTTTGAAATCATGAATGGATATGGAATCTTATCAAAAGCTGAATGTATATGTATACTGATATGATCATATAACTTTTAGGTTTCATTTTATGCATTACTGTAATTATCTTGCATATATTGAACCATCTCTGCATCGCTGGAATGTATCTGATTTTCATGTATGAATCATGAATTATACTTGATTAAGTGTGCAGAGGATCTAAACTGGGCCTCCAGCTCACAGCCCCAACCCTTTGTGTTATCTCCCACCCCCAGACTTTACTTTTTTTGGGGGGTCACACCTATCAATGCACAGGGGTTTCTCCTGGCTCTGCACTCAGGAATTACTCCTGGCAGTGCTCAGGGGACCATATGGGATGCTGGGAATCGAACCCAGGTTGACCCATGCAAGGCAAACGCCCTACCTCCAGCCTCAAGACTTCACTTTTAAATCAAGTCTAGAAATCTGCATCACCTCAGCTTTGGGTGCTGTGAAAAACAATAAGTTCCTGCCTTTGCTCCCTCTATTCTTATAGAAATAGATATAAAATGCAGGGATAGGAAAATTTTCAGATAAAAACACAAGGTTGACTTTGATAGAAAACAATTTTAATTAAATATAGGGGACAGTAACAGTAAATATAAAACATGAAATTCAAAACAGCGAAGGGGCATGTGGGCGGGCAATGGAGAGGACTGTAGGATCTCCACGGACACCAACTGATGCAAATATGCACTTGAAGATCTTAAGTACATGCTTTGCACCTGGCTCCAGAATCTTACAAACATGGAAACACACAACAGACATTCAACACCAACACACACTCAAACATCCCGCCCAACCTAAGTAGCTCTTAACCCAGCTTTTCTCTCTGTACATCCCTGAGGGTTGGAGAAAGAACACTTTCACTTTCGGCTGCCAGGCTTCACAATAGCTTGAACATTAAGTGTGTCCACGGGGCGGTCACTCCAGGAGTACTTCCGGAACCCGCTAGTAGGGTGCTGGCTTCTTCCTCCACAACTCATGAAACAGGGGTAGACCTTCCCAGCCATAGAAACTCGGCTGTTGCTTCAAGGACGTTTCATACTTCAGGTCAGTGGAAATCAAAAGGAAACCCTGAAGGGAAAGAATAAGATAATGTCACACTCTGGGCCTGGCCCGCCATGGCCCGTCTAAGTCCCCCTGACGACTTCATGGTCAAGCGTGAGTGTGTCATGCTCTCTCATCTCCCCGGACCCCTAGAGTTAGTCACTAGACTGTGGAATAAGCCACTGTACCCACGACTCAAGCCACCGAAGAAGGAGGGGGTGCAGGCTATAGGACTGGAGAATCCATTCGAATCTGACAGCTACCTTTGCAAGTAAGACAAGTCTCCCCAAAAGAAGCGAACAAAGGTATTCTGAAGTTTGTTTAATTAATTAATTATTTTTTGACTGATTAGTTGCCATTTATTCCATTTTCCCCACGCGCCTGCCCCAGTCTCTCTGAGCCTCCCATTCTAGTCTCACACTCCCCTCATTCCTGTCTCCTCCTGTCTCTCCCGCTCATCTCTCCGCGCTCGATCTCGCAACCTGAACTCTCTCTCTCTCTCTCTCTCTCTCTCTCTCTCTCTCTCTCCACGTGCCTGCTCCTGGATTCTTCTACATTCTTCTCTTTCTGTCCCCCTTGCTAGCCTCTCCACAGTCCATCATGCTGCCCTGCTCTTTCTCTCTCCAGCTCTCTTGTCCTGAAGTTTGTTTTAACATTGGAAGCAGGACTGGAGAGTTAGTACAGGGCTTGATCCCTGGCATCACATATGGTCCCCTGACCGGAAGTGATCCCTGAGCACTGGGTCACAAATAAGTCTTGAGAACCACCAGGGGATCAAACAAGCAAACAAAAAATTGATCCGGTTCATAAAGAAATGAGAGCTCAGAGTAGGGTCTTTAGTGGAGGCAAAAGTTTGTGGGAATATGGGAAGAACCAGTGTGGTCTCGTCAAGACCTTTGATAGCCATTAAGATACTTCCCCCATCTTAGTCTTAGTTTCCGCATCTGTACAATGGGACTAAGAACCCCAGTCTCACAGGTTGACTGGTAAAACGAAATAAAACACGCTACGCTGCCTCTAGTGGGGTGAGGAAAAATTTGACTACAAAGGGGAATTTGCCTCAGTCTGATTTTGAGGAACGGTATGTGGGTCAACTCTGACAGTGATCAGGGGCCGGAAAGTACAGTGAATAGAGCATTTGTTTGCCTACACACAGTTGTCCAGGTTTGATCTTTGGCAGCCCGTATGTTCTCTGCAGCTCACCATCAGTGATCCAGGAGTAAGCCCTGAACATTGTCAGGTGACCCCAAACCAAAAACCAAACAAAAAAATCTGACAGAGATCAGACTCCGGGTGTTACTTCTTGCTCTGTGTTTAGGGAAGGATACACGGGGTCAGGATTGAACCACCAGCAGCCTAAGGCAAGATGAGTACCTTAAACCCTGCACAACTTCTCCCCACCAGGGAAGGACTCGACCCTGACAGTAGTCCCTAGATTAGAGAAGGCCACTAACTGACAGGACTTGGTCCTGGAGTAACTGACCTTGCAGCCCTCATATTGATATACAAATGTTTCAAGTTTTGAGTCGTCCTGTATCTTTGGCAAATGCCTGTACTCTGACTTCTAACTCAAGTTAGAAGTAAAAGCTTGGGGCTGGAGCAATAGCACAGCCGATAGGGCGTTTGCCGTGCACACGGCCAACCCATTTCGATTCCCAGCATCCCATATGGTCCCCAGAGCACCGCCAGGGGTAATTTCTGAGTGCATGAGTCAGGGATAACTCTTGTGCATTGCAGGCTGTGACCCACGGTCACGGTCACGGTCCTCCCGTTGTTCATCAATTTGCTCAAGCGGGCCCAGTGACGTCTCCTTCATGAGACTTGTTGTTACTGTGTTTGGCATATCGAATACGTCACGGGGAGCTTGCGAGGCTCTGCCATGCAGGCAAGATACTCTCGGTAGCTTGCCAGGCTCTCAAAAAGCAAAAAAAAAAAAAAAAGTCAATGCTTTTCACTGCTAACTGCAAGCAACATTGTTTGCAAAAGTCCTGGGGGGGGGGAGGGGCAGGAGCAGAACAAATTTAAACCGCTAGGAAGCCAGAGAAGCAGAGTTATTTTTTTCCAACCAAGGGAAACCCATGAGCGAAGAGCAGAGTCAAACTCTTACCTCAAGAACTTCAATCTCCGATTTGGTCAGGGAGATATTGTATGGGTTGGGCAGGGGAATTCCTTGCTGCAATTTGGCTAAAATATAGAACGAGAGAATTAGAAAACGATGAGACAACAGGCACAGAAATTTTGGCAAACTTTCTCTTCAGAGACATCGGCAGTGTTGTAATGATTTCTCCTTTAATTCTACCTAGTTTCTAGTTTTGTGTGAGATGTCCCCAGTCGTTCTTCTGGAGGGAGAGTTAACGAATCCTGCTTTGTTAAAAGGAGCCTGTAATCGGGCAACTCTGAGGGCAGAAATTGGCAAGACGTGCAATTTACATCTTGAAAATGCCTTGAGGAGCGGGGTTCTGAGGACGTTTTTGTCTTGAATATAAAAATAGTTTAATTCTGAGGTGGGGAGGGCTGCTGGGGGATTGAACCCGTAGCCTCATCCACGAGGAACATTCACTCTACCACGTCCAAGCACCAGAAAAAAAGCATTTTAATTAATTAATTTATTTGTTGTTACTAATTTATTTAGGCTTTGGGGCCACACCCGACTTGTGCTCAGGGGTTGGTTACTCCTGGCTCTGTGCTCAGGTCACTCCTGGTGGAGCTCGGGGAACCTTAGAAGGTGCCAGGGTTTGAAGCCAAGTGCCTTCCTCACTGTACTATCTCTCTGGCCTTCACAAAAATGTGGTTAAATAAGCAAAACCCAAGATGCTGCAGTTCGTGGTGTTCTTTGCCTTTTATTTTGGTGCCACACCCAGAGTGCTTAGGGCGTACTCCCAGCTAGGTATTATGGGGTCATTTCTGGCAGTGCTCAGGGGACCATGCAGTGCTGGGGATGGAACTTGGGCCTCCAACATGTATAGCAAGTGCTCAGTCCATTGAGCTGTGTACCAGCCCAAAGATGCTGCGGCTTATAAATAATTCTAGTGCATAAAGCAGACAGGCCTGGGATTGTCATTCATTAAATCAGTGGAACTGGGCCCCTTCCTTTCCCTCCCCTCTCCCTCCCTCCTCTCCCCTCCTTTCTCATTCTCTTTCCCTCCATCCTGGCTGTGCTCAGGGTTTACTCCTGGTGGGCTCAGTGAACCAGACAGGGTCCCTCCCTGGGGAGATTGTGATGCCAGGGATCGAACCCGTGGCTCCTACTGCAGTAGGTACCCTGCCCATGGTCTTATCTCTCTGACCCGAGACTTTCTACTTTCGAAGGAAAATGGTTTCAATTTTTGAAACTCAACCATAGTTAGCTATGCTTGCTGAATTTGCAAAGAGGGTTGAACTGACATGGCTTGTGCCTGGAACAATTAACTTTGCAATCCTATTGTTGATGGTACAAATGTTGATGGTACAAAAAAAAAAAAAAGAAAAGAAAAACTAACCCAAGCTAGTTCTGGCGCTACCTTGGGTTCATCCTAATAGTCTCGGAGGACAAGCTTCAGGGTGAAAAGTCGCTGACTATCTGCAATCCAATGCCTTCCTCAAAGTCCCTTCCATCCTTTTTCATCCCTCCCTTTCTTCTTTTTTTGCTTTCAGTTTTGGGGCTACTTCTGGTGGTGCTCAGGGGCTAGGCCCAATCTGCTGCTTGAAAATAAAAATATAAATTTTTATATCACTTCTGGTGGTGCTCAGGGATCACCCAGTGCTAGGGGTCGAACCCAGATCTCTAGCATCCAAGTGTGCACTCTGTCTACTGACCGTCCCTCTTGACCCCAGGTCACCTTGTGGGTGGAGACCCCCTTACCATTGGCCAGTGGGAGGACGCCGAAGTGTAGAATAGAGGACAGAATGTTCTCGAACCTCAGGACCTGTGATGAAAGGGGAAACAGTCAGTAGCCCAAGCAAGATGCTTCCCCAGATAAGGAGAATCACGGGCTCTTGGGCGGAAACCATTCCTCAGCCTATCTGCTTCTGACGATGGACTTTCTTTCTTTCATTCTTTCACTTTTTTTGTTTTTTTTTGTTTGTTTTGCTTTTTGGGTCACACACAGCAATGCTCAGAGGTTACTCCTGGCTCTGCGCTCAGGAATTACTCCTGGCGGTGCTTGGGGGCCATATGGGATGCTGGGAATCGAACCCAAGTCGGCTGTGTGCAAGGCAAAAATGCCCTAACTTCTGTACTGTCGCTCCAGCCCCATGCCCTTGAACCTTCTGCACAGGCAATTTTTATTGTTCAGTTGTTTATCTGTTTATCTGTTCTCTGTTGTCCACACTGTGTCACACACATACAGACACTCACACATGTAACCCTCACACAAAACCTGCAAAAATCCTCACATACTCACATGTGCACACACACAACACACACATATACACACACACTCTAGAAGGGGGCTTTCCCATCGAGGCACCATTGACATTGAGGGAATTGAGCAACACAGTCCTTTGTTGCAGGGGGGGGGGGGAGGGGGCATCCTTTGCCCTGTGGGGTGTTTAAGCTACATCCTTGGCCTCTTCCCATGAAATATCTACAGCATCTCCCGCACTCTCTCGAGCGTATCTCCAGATACACCTTCAGATGTCATCAAATGTCCTAGGAGGTGGGGGCATGATGGAGGTCAGTTGGAACCCCCCAATCTAGGTCTCAGCTTCTGAAACTGGGGATTGTGGACCTCTAGGAGGTTACATAACTGAATGTGCAGTAGTGAAGAAGTTTGAATGTGCACAGTAAGAGGTTTCTGGTTTTGTTTTGTTTTTTTTCTTTTTGGGTCACACCCGGCGATGCACAGGGGTTATTCCTGGCTCATGCACTCAGGAATTACTCCTGGCGGTGCTCGGGGGACCTTAAGGGATGCTGGGAATCGAACCCGGGTCAGCTGCGTGCAAGTCAAACACCCTACCCGCTGTGCTATCACTCCAGCCCCAGTAAGAGGTTTCTGAATGCCTAGTGACAAATGTGTTTGTCTGAGGAGTTTCTGGCTGTGCTCATCTGTGTTGCATTTTGGGCATAAAGGGATTGCAGGTAGGAAATATCCATGAGGCCATGCTATGGGCTGAAGCACGTGCTTCACATGCAGGAGGTTCTGGCTTGATTCCCAGCACAGGGAGTAGCCCATGAAAACCTGTGGGTGTGGTCCTCCATCAATACACTTAAAGAAAGAAGCCCTGTTATAAGGACACCTAGGAATTGGTCTTGTTGATCTCTCTCTCTCTCTCTCTCTCTCTCTCTCTCTCTCTCTCTCTCTCTCTCTGTCTCTCTCTCTCCCCCTTATTTTGGCTTTTTGGGTCATACCTGGTGATGTTCAGGGGTTACTCCTGGTGGTGCTCGGGGGACTATATGGGATGCTGGGGATCGAACTCAGGTCAGCTGCATGCAAGACGAACGCCCTATCTGATCTAGCTCCTGGTCTGGTTGATCTCCTGAAGCTTATGGAAAAACGTACAAGTCGCACCTGGGATGTTTTTCTCCAGACAGGAGGTCACTAGGTCCCCTCCCCTCCCCCAGTCCCAAATGGTACTCCTGGGGCCAGAGAGATAGTACAGTGGGCAGGGTGCTTGCTTTCCATGAGGCAGACCTGGTTTTGATCCCTGGAATCCCATGTGGTCCCCTGAACACCACAGGGAGTAATTCCTGAGTGCAGAGTCAGGAGTAATCCCTGAGCAAACTCAGATATAGTCCTCAAATGAAACAAAACAAAACAAAAAAGGTACTCCTACAACCAATCTAGCCTAGATTTAGATATGTAAAAGGTCTTTGAAGAGCAAACATAATCTAGACCTAATTACATATAGCCTCTTCCGTTGGGAGTTTGCATTTTATTAAAATATGTATATATTTTTTGGTTTTAGGGCCCAGCCTGACAGTGCTCAGGGGCTAATCCTGCCTCTGGACTCAGGAATCCTCTTAGCGTGCTCAGGGAACCATATGGGATGTCAGAGACTGAACCCAGAATGGCAGCATGCAAGGCAAACATACTGTACTATTGCTCTAGCCCTGTGAGTTTTCATTTTAACTTTATCCCTGGAGGATTATTTAATCCTGGAAACAAAATCTCCCCTAAGTACCCGCTAATTTTTTCTTTCTTGGGAGTGTTGTTTACACCCAGTGGTGCTCAGAGGCTATTTCCAGCCCAGTGCTTGGGGATCACTCCTGGGGTGATCATGGCTGGGATCCAACTGGAATTGGACACATGCAAGGCAAATGCCGTAAACCCTGTACTATCCCAACAATGCACATTTCCCTCAACTTTATACAAAGTCTTAACAGTCTTCTGAATTCTTTCTAAAGTCTTTCTGCACAGATAAAAGTGAATTCCAGAGTTTCTTTCATGTTTGTGGTGGGTTTGGTAGACATGAAAAACTTGAAAGTTAAAACCTTTATTCTTGGGGCCAGGCGAGTATCTCTAAAGGCTAGAGTGTGAGGTCCAGAGTTCGATTCCTGGCACCTCATGTTCAGCACATGTGGGCATAGCCCAGGGAGCCCCCACACCAAATCATGGGATTTGGTCCTGGAGACCACCAGTGGTCCTGGTTCTCTGGGCCTGGGCTGCATCGCCTGCTTCACTCACACACCACACTATCAGGCCTGCACAATTGTTCTGCGTATCGCTGGATGGACCTTGGGTCCTCCAAGCATCACCGAGGAGCCCCCCCCCCCAGCCAAAAATAAAACTCCTTCACTCCGGAAGAACCCACGTGTCTACGTCCATTAACGGCCATTCAGGAGGTGGGAAATGCCTACCTCAATATTGCTGCGATCAATCTCTGGCAGAGAAAGGCGGAATCTGAAACAAAAGCCAAAACAACAGGAAATGGTCAAAGGAAGTTTAAAAAATATACAAAAAAGTGTGAGCTTAAAATTTTTTTAAATTTCTTTTTATTTTGGAATATGCCCTGAGCGGGCTGAAGCGATAGCTCAGCGGGTAGGGCATTTGCCTTGCACGCAGCCAACCTGTTCGACCCAGGTTCAATTCCTCCGCCCCTCTCCGAGAGCCAGGGAAACTACCGAGAGTATCTTGCTCGCAGGGCAAAGCCTGGCAAGCTACCCGTGACGTATTCGATATGCCAAACACAGTAACAACAAGTCTCACAAAGGAGACGTTACTGGGCCCGCTCGAGCAAATCGATGAGCAACGGGAGGAGAGTTACAGTACCCTGAGCACGGCCAGGTGTGGCCCAAACCCCAATCCCTAAAAAGGAACGTATTTGTGAGTTTCTTTTTTCCCTTTTGTATTTTGGACCACACCCACCATGGTCAGGAGATACTCCCTGTGGCTCAGGGGACCATGTGATGTCCGGGGTTTACACCCAGCACACCCCACACGCTCACCAGCCCTTGGGTCTATCTCCTGTGCCCCCGGAGTTTCCTTTCAGTACAAGTCCTGATGGCACTTCCTGAGTGAACCCTCCAGGGATCTCCCAAGAACTAGACTATCTTTTCCACGTAAGGCCTCTTCTTTCTCTTTCTAGTTCTCTGCCCACCTGCAGCCAGTCGTGGCTCATTCATTACCAGAAGCGGCACAGGGGCTAAACAGTTTGCAAAAACTTCTCATTCTGGTTCTGAAAAACGTGCAGTTCAACTTATGAACCACTAGGTGGCGCCTGAGTTCAGTTCTTAGACTCATGTCCTCACCTATTTCTTCAAACTATTTGAAGTAGGTGTGTGTGTGTGTGTGTGTGTGCGCGCGCGCGCGCATATACATGGATCTATCTATCTATCTATCTATCTATCTATCTATCTATCTATCTATCTATCTATCATCTATCTATCATCTATCCTTGCAGGTGAAAATCTATTACGACTTTCTTTTCACCATCAAAACTATGATCTTGGATTTTCCTTCTTGCCTTGTACAAGCCAAAAAAGCAACAGCAACTACTCTGGCAACTTTAAGGTGGACTCCAGAAATGTCACCAACACTCTGGACTTTGTGACTGAATCCAGCAACCAGAACTTCGTCATTTTCCTCAATAAAAATTCAAGCAGTCATTCTAGATCATCTGGACTTGGATACAATTCCTTTTTTGTTTGTTTGGTTGGTTCTTTTGGGCCATACCCAGCTATGCTAAGATGCTTATTCCTGGCTCTGTGCTCAGGGGTCACTCCTGAGGGGGCCCCGGGGGGGGCATATGAGGTGGCAGGGAACAACCCAGCTCAGCCACGTGCAAGGCAAGCAAATGCCTTACCTGCTATACTAGTTTGCCGATCCCCATGACACACTTCCTAAGAGCAGAATGTGGCTGTTGGCCTCAGCCTGACTTTCCCTAGCACAATCCCCTGGGCACAGCAAGCTTCTCCAGCCCTGGGCTCACATGGACTTTCTTGCACTGTTCATGCTATTACTCCCGACCTTGTCACATCCACTGTGCCCATAACACGGGCCTGAGTCAATAAGCTGTTTTATTACAGAACCAAAGTCATGAAAGAGAAAGGGAACTCAGTTAGCTACACCATGAAAATAGGCAAAAGCAGGGCCAGAGAGACTGTACAGTGAGTAGGGTTCGATCCCTGGCATCTCATATGGTCCCAAGCATCACCAGGGGGGTGATTCCTAGGTGCAGTGCCAAGAGTTGGCCTTAAGCATCACTGAGTATGACCCCTAAAGTCAATATACATATATACATGAACTGAAAGGACAATGCTGGACAATGCATCATGTAGAAGAGGCAGTTTCTTAGCCTGATGGGAGACCAGAGACCAAATTCAAATTCTTTTTTTTTGGGGGGTAAGGGAGGAATATGGGGTGATGGCACAACCACTGGTCCTCAGAATGCCAATCCTTAACCCTATGGTAATGGCAGACATTGAAAATAAACCCATACCCAATTCCCTATTAAAAAATGGTTAGATAGCTCATCTCTTTGGCTTCTCTGACCTCCTTGGGGGGTGGAGAGCCAGTATTAATTCCTGTGCATTTCCGGGATTGAGTACGCAGCATATTTAGGATGTCAGTTTGGTTCGTTTATTCATTCATCCCACAGATGACAGATGAACACCCAAGATGGGTGAGCTCTGGGAAAGATACTGAAGACACAATTTTTGGTTGGTTTTTTTTTTCTTTGGCCAAACCTAATGGTGCTCAGGGCTTACTCCTGCTCTATGCTCAGGGATCACTCCCAGAGGGACTCAGGGGACCATAGGGGATAATGGGAATCGAACCCTGGTTGGCTGCATGCAAGGCGAGTGAGTGCTCTACCTGATGTGAGATTGCTCTGGCCCTGGAGACTCAGTTTCAAGTTGAACCAGAAACAGTCAAACTCGCGCATCGCCTGCAGCCTGAGCGGGGTGGCAGCTATTTACCAAAGGGTCCCAATAACTCAGGGTTAATTACAGAATGAGATGGACGCTCGTGAGGCAGAAGAGAGAGATCTGAGGGAATGTGGAGGGCTTGGGTGGACCCAAGGAAGGGAAGCACAGCCTTGAGCTGACCTGGGAAAGAGGAACAGGAGCAAAAGGGCCAAGTGGGGCTGGAGCAATAGCACAGCGGGTAGGGCGTTTGCCTTGTATGGGGCCAACCCGGGTTCGATTCCCAGCATCCCATATGGTCCCCTGAGCACCGACAGGAGTAATTCCTGAATGCAAAGCCAGGAGGTAACCCCTGTGCATTGCCAGGTGTGACCCAAAAAGCAAAAAAAAAAAAAAAGCTGAGTGGGGGAGCAAGCAGGAAAGGGTCGGGGTGGGGGGAGGGTGCAAAGGCCACAAAGAGAGAAGAGAAGGTGAGGGAGGGTGACAGACAGTGATGCCTGCTGGCAAGGCAGGTGGTGGGAAGCGGGCAGAGGCTCTGGGAATGCTGGGAATTTCACTATTTACCCCAAGAACAAAGAGTCCAGGGAGGTCCCTCAGGGAGCTGATGCTAGTTTTCCGCCTCCTGATGCTGCTGGGAGGAAGTTCCCACCCCCCATGGAAACCCTGAGATGTGAAAAGGTGAAAAGACAGCAGCGCGGACTGGGCGTGCGCACACGTGCATGAAACCCTGGGACCGGTCTTTTGGGCAGTGACTCTCTGTCCATCAGCATCTAGCTTGGTCCCTGTGTGCTAACCAGGCGTGTCTCCCCACCACCCCTGAATCCAGAGGGCAGTAAGCAGGGCCCTCTCCCTGCTCTGTGTCCAGAATGGAGCCAAGTGAGCAGAGCGAGCAGCACCCAGGTGGCCCCGTTCATGCATGCATGCAGAGATGAGCTGGGCAGGGAACTGGTGGGGATCGGCTGCTGGAATTGGGGTCGCTTGGAGGCAGGACCACAGGTGATGGTCACTCGAGCCTCCAGGCTGGGACGGGCTTTGCACCAGGGGAAGTTCCCAGGGAAGGAAGGATGCGTGGAACCCCTTCCAGTTAGGGAAGCGACCCACAATGTTTTCACACACTCATTCTTCCCACAGTATGGGAGAAGCAGAAGTTATGGGGGGGTCTTCTAACCTTTGAGGGGGCCAGCCCCATGTAGCAATCCTTTGTCCCAGCTTCCAGGAAGGGTGGGGAGGGCGGCAGGCATGTCAGGGCCCGTGCCTGCTGACCGGGTCACAAGCCCAACCACCTCCCCAGACCTGTTTTCTGCTTGGTGGTGGTGGTGGGGGGGTTCTCTCCAGGTGGCCCTGTTGGGAAATGCTTATCTGCCCAAGCCAGGAGCCCAGGAGGGGCCAGCCTTCAGCTTGGAGGCAGCCCTCCCAGGTGTTTTGGCAGTGTGCACAAACACACACACACACACACACACACACACACACGAGAGCATCTCTCTCTGCAGTGGATTGCCTTGAGCTTTGCACGTGATTTGAAGACAGGTCAGGGTTAAGTCCTTTGGATGAGCACAAAAAACAGGAAAGTGACATTGAACTTGGCCTCTGAATTCATCTGAAAAATACCCACAATGTAGACCAACCTGCCAAAGAGAGCTAGCTGGCTGTCAACAGAGCAGTGAGGATCTGATTTATGGTTTTGTGTGTGTGTGTGTGTGTGTGTGTGTGTGTGTGTGTGTGTGTGATAACAAGGGAGAACTATGCCTTTTTTGGGGGAGAGGGCTGGGGCCACATCCAGTGGTGCCCAGGGTTTATTCCTGACTCTGCACTCAAGGACCACACCTGACAGGGCTCAGGGGACCGTACAGGGTGCTGGGGACTGAACCCCAGTTTAGGAGTGTACGAGGCAAATGCCCTACCCACTGTACTATCTCTCTGGCCCTGTGTCCTCATTTTACAAAGAAGGAATCTGAGGCACAGAGAGATCACCTGGGACTCCACTGCTGATGAATGCCAGGGCTGGGATTTGTTTGCTTGGGGGTCATATCCAGCTGTACTCAGAACCTACTTCCAGTTCAGTGCCTGGGGGTTTCTGCTACTGGTGTTGGGGACCAGACAGTGCCAAGGATCCAGCCAGGCCCCTGCATACAGGGCAGGCACATGAGTCTTCTGAGTTAGCCCCCTGGTCCCAGTGCTGGGATTTGAACCATCCAATGCCGTGATCTTTTTGCCTCTCTAAACCTGCCATTCAGGGGCTGGAGAGAGAGAAAAGTGGGGAAGGCACTTGCCTTGCATACCTTGCTGACCCTGATTCCATCCCCACACCTATATGGTCCCCCGAGCCTTGCCAGGAGTGACTTTTGAGTGCAGAGCCAGGAGTAGCCCCTGAGCATCACCAGGTATGGCCCCCAAACAAATAAAAACCACCCCAAGGCCCCTTAAGCTGGTCACTCCTAGAGCTTGCATCTGCTTTGTGTGGTTTCTGTCTCTGTGGCCAGCCCTAAGCAGGGGCTGGTAGGAGGTGATGGGACTCTATAGTGTGATATTGGGTCACCCCCTTTTTCAGGGACACTTTACTGATCCCTGCCCCCCCTCCACCAAACTTGACATTTATCCTCCCCTGTCTCCTTGGCATTGCCAAACCAGTTTAACCTGAAAAGCAGCAGCTAGTGGGGGTACATTAGGAAGAGCCAGCTGAGGTACCCCATCTGGGAGGCAGGGCCCCCACTCGCTTTCTGGGATGAAGTATGCCCTCTGGGCAGCTCTGCTCCTTGGCAACCTCTTGCCTGCTATTTGGCTGTCACAGGCCCGAGTGAGGCCTGGCCCACCTTCCTCCAACAGCTCTCCAGGTTTGCTGCAGCCCCCAACTCTTGCAGAAGCCCCCTCTGATTCCACGTACATGGCTGGTGCAGAAGGACTGGCTGGTTTAGAGGAGCCCCAGCCTCAGTTGGACCAGGAAACCCCCCAGTAAAGCCATCTTGAAGTCTTTCTGTCTGGGAAGCCACATGCTTTGTTGGTTCCTTTTCCATCTATGTATGGCACTGGGGGATTGACCCCAGCTTCACACTTCCAGGTAGGTGCTGGACCACAGTCACATGGCTGGCCCCATGAGAAGCACTTTAAGGGGATGAAACCACCTGAACTTTACATCTTCCTCTAACTCCTTGTGTGTGACTCTCGCCCTGATGGAATGTAGGTCCTCACCGCAGACTGCTGGTTTGTGCATTTCCACACTCCACAGACTCTCTTTGTAGCGTGTAACACGCCCTGTGTTTCACAATAGTCTTCATAGCCATTGTGTTGACTTACTGTGATTGACTTTCTTCCCTTTGATTGATCTCCTATTATTACTACTACTATTACTACTGGTATTTGGAGGGTCACAACCGGCAGTACTCAGGGCTCACTCCTGGCTCTGTGCTCAAGAATCATTTTTTTTTTTTTTTGCTTTTTGGGTTACACCTGGCGATGCACAGGGGTTATACCTGGCTCTGCACTCAGGAATCACTCCTGGAAGTGCTCGGGGGGACCATATGGGATGCTGGGAATCGAACTCGGGTTGGTTGCGTGCAAGGCAAATGCCCTACCCACTGTGCTATCACTCCAGCCCCAGGAATCACTCTTTGGGGGCTTCAGGAAACCATATGTAGTGCTGGGGATGGGAGCTGGGTTGGGTGTGTGCAAGACAAATGTCTTACCATTGTACGATCTCTCTGGCCCCTGGTTTCCTATTTTATTATTATTTTTTTTGGAGGGGTGCATACTCAGCAATGCTCAGAGGTTACTCCTGACTCTATACTCTGGAATTACTCCTAGCGGTGCTCAGGGTGCCACACGGGGCACAAGGGATCCAATCCAGGTTAGCCACCTGCAAGGTAAACACTCTTCTCTGTACTATCACTCTGGCCCCTGGTTTCCTGTTCTTTTAGGACTTTCACGGGCTGGTTTTGCTCCCTCTTTTTCCTCTCCTGGATTTAGTCTGAGCCAGCCTGTTCTGTGTATCCTTCCTCACATTATCCGGTTCACAGCCTCAACCACCAGCCTCTAAGGCTGAGAAAATGTACTCTGGAGGTGGTTTTTCCAAGTGGCAATTGAGCGCTCAGTCGTGGATGTATAAAATCCTTCCACATCCTTTCATACTGTGCGACTTGCCATGAGCCAGCAAAACTGAGTCTTATAAAAATCTATGTTCTAGTAATGGGATCAGCATTCGGGAGCTGGAAAATGCCTTAGAGATGACTCAGTCCAACTTCCTATTTGACAATTAAGGAGAGGGAGGCTCAGAGCAGTGAATAAACTAAATCACAGCTACAGAAGAGGGAAGGAGGGATCTAAAATGCCTTTCCTCACATCTCATGCTCTTTCCTGGAGAGTATCCTTCCTGCATTTGATGAGTAGGAGCTTTAGTTTATATTGCTTTACCATTAGTGTGTGCATTTATGTTGCCATAACTTACACTTATTTTCTTCCCATTTAATCTTTTTTTTTTCCTTTTTGGGTCACACCTGGCAATGCACAGGGGTTACTGCTGGCTCTGCACTCAGGAGTTACTCCTGGCGGTGCTCAGGGGACCATATGGGATGCTGGGATCCGAACCCGAGTTGACCGCATGCAAGGCAAACGCTCTACCCGCTGTGCTATCTCTCCAGCCCCCCATTTAATCTTTTTGTTGTTTTTTTTCTTTTTGGGTCACACCCAGCGATGCATAGGGGTTACTCCTGGTTTTGCACTCAAGAATTACTCCTGGAGGTGCTCAGGGGACCATATGGGATGCTGAGAATCGAACTCGGGTCGGCCGCATACAAGGCAAAAGCCCTACCCGCTGTACTGTCATTCCAGCCCCCCGTTGATTTGTTTTTTTCTGGGGGCCCCACCTGGCTGTGTTCAGGACTTACTCCTGGCTCCATGATCAGGAATCACTCCTGGCAGGGCTTGGTAGACCCTATGTCGTGCTGGGGCTTGACCTGGGGCTGGCTGTGTACTAGGCAAGAACCTTGCCCACCGTCCTATCTCTTCGACCCTGACCTTTCATTACTAGAGTTCCCAAAGGTGCCATCAATGGTCCTTACCTGTTCAGAGACAGGGAGCAGATCAATTTTTGTCCCAAGATGACGAGGCCCACACTGGTGCTGGCAACCTGTGGACCACAAAAGCATCGTTACTAAGGGGAGCCAATCAGCTCTATTGGCCACAAGTGATTGTAATAGTGGAGACACTCCAAGCTCCGCTTTTTCCCCTATTTCAAGATATACTAGAAAGTGTGTGGGGGGGAAACCTGAAAATATTGTCTTTTAGGTAGGGAAACTGATGATAAGCTTTTTGGGTTTGAGGATCTTCTTTATATCATTTCCCCATTTTCTCCTAGCCCATACACGATATGAATATGTATTTGCATGTATGTGTGTCGGACGGCAGACACATGAGCAAATCAATGAACAACAGGAGGACAGTGCTACAGTGCTATGTGTGTGTGAATGTGTGTGTGAGTTGTGTGTGAACACTCTGCATAGGTTAATTGAATTAGTTCCTTTCCATTGGATCATATTTGGCCTTCATCTCCCTTTTAAGCTTGAATTCCCCCTTGGTAGACTTCCTTTAAGGCTAACAGAAATTCAGCTTTCAGTATAATAATGAAGCAGAGAAGGCTGACTGGTTATTGGACCAGATAGGGGTCTGACCACCTCCAAGACCTTCTCCAAACCCAGTCTCACCCCTCATGGACAGGTTCCCTCCTCTGCCTAAATGTTGGTGGCCTGCTACAGGGACAGATCTGTTACCCACAGGCTGCCCTCCTGTCCTGTGGACTTACAAAGTCCATGGAGACAATGTTTTCTGTGGTCGAGTTCTCAGTCTTGGTGAGAATCATGATGGAGGCCGGGATGTCCAGGGTGAAGTTGCCCGGTAGCAAATGGACAACGGGAGGCTCCGTGGCCATGATCCGCATCATGACAGGCTGTGACAAGATGTAGCTCTCAGCGATCTGCCACATTGGGAGAGAGAAGCACAGATCATGACTGTGGAAGTTGGTTAGGGGAGACCCCAAATTGGGGGTGGCCTGTGGGGATAAAGGTGCTGATGCTGGTGCTGTAATTTGTGTCAATGAAGATACATGCCAGGGAGAGCTGTTGGGGCTACCCGCTGGGGTCAACAGGTTAAGTTTCACACCATGCAGATAAAATAGAAAAAGGCCCTTTGATAACAATAAAAAAACCCCGAAAATAATAATAATAGCTGATATCACTTCAACTGCTCTTGTGTGGCAAGCAACAGTCCCAAGACTTCCTGCACAATCCTATTTGATCTCCACCAGACTCCTGTGAGGCAAGTCTGATTGGGATATCTGCTTCGTCCCCGAAGAAAGTGAGCTGTAGGGAGCCGGAGCAACAGTGCAGCGGGTAGGCACTTGCCTTGCATGTGGCTGACCCAGGTTCAATCCCAGGGTGATTCCTGAGTACAGAGTCAAGAGTCAACCCTGAGCATCTTCGCTGGGCATTACCCCGCTCCTCACTCCCAAAGAAAAAGTCAGCTGCAGAAAGGCCCACTCATTTTCCCAGGGTCCCGGTTCAGGGACTGGGGAGGAAGTCTACAGGACTCCAGAGTAGGTTTTGCATGCTGGAATCCTAGCATGTTCCCCAGTACCTCTCAGTCCCCTGAGTATCTTTGGAAGGGAATTCTGAGCACTGAGCCAAAAGTAGCCCCAGCAGCAATGGGTGTGGCCCCTAAACCAAATCACCTTTCCCTAAGGAAGTTTCCACATTGTAGGGCTGTGGTTCAGACCTCTGCCTGTCTGTGCCAAGAGCCTTGTTCTCGAAGTGGGGTGCGCGAGCACCGCCAGGAATAATTGCTGAATGTAGAGCCAGGAGTAACCACTGTGCATCACCAGTTATAACTCCCCTCAAAAAAAAGATAGAAGTGGGGTGCAGGCCAGACTTCAGCAAATGGCTCCTGTCCTCATGCCTTTCTGGATGCTGTGCTAAACCAAATTCAGGGGTGCTAAAGGCATGCCAGCAAGACTTCGCTTTACTAAAGTCAGGAACGAGGCCTGCTGCTCCTGCATTTCCTAGTCAAGCTCATTATTTTTTAACATGGTGGCGCCTTAGGAGGGACTGAAGGTGTTATTTGGTGAACTTACAATACCTTCCTTGTAACTTCTTCAATAAATATTTGTGAGATTTTTTTATTGAAAGGAAAACATTACATTCAGAATGGAAAGATGGACTCAGAAAGGAACAGAGAGAACCCGTCAGTCTCCCGGAAGGAATTCCCATGAAACCAAATACATTATCAAGGAGTTTCACCCTCCCACCCAGCCACCCACCTCCGCACCCTGACCAGCCGGACTCACCCAGGAGAGCATGTTGCCAATGCCTGGAGAATTCGGAGCCAAGTGCTTGGAAATCTGCAATAACAAAACCATCGTACTATTGCCCGAAATTTTCACTTGACCTGTTTTTCCCCCCCATGGAAAATCTAGCTTTTCTTATGATTTCTAGGGCTCAAGAAGATGTTGCATGAGAAAATGTTTGTGTTTGAAGGTGACCTATTCTCTGTCTAGTCAAACCATAGGACACCAGAGGCCCAGAGGTCAAGAATTTGCTTTTAGTACAAGCTGAGCATGGGCATGCTACAGTCTTTGGATAGTCAGTCATGAGCCATTGGCCCCATTTTCAGAGACAACTGAGACAGGAGCGCTGGGCTAATCTCCCTTCACAGATAAAAGGTTTCTACCTCCGAAGCCAGAAGAAGCTGATTCTAAGCAGGGCACGGTGACTCTGACGAATGGGAACCCGAGATTGATAGCTCCCATTCGAGTTGTAATTATACCATGTAGAATGAAGAGATCCATCAGGATGCTCAATAAAACCGGTTGGTTGACTGTCTGGGGAGAGTGTTTCCATTATAAGAGGAAGGGGTGGGGTAAAGGTAGTTAATGAGTATCTGTTTTATTACTGGTTGTTGTAGATAAATCAGGTACAAGTACCAACAGGAGAAAGCTTTCAGGTGTCTAGGGCAGGGAGTAATAATAGCCGGGACAATATGCAGCAAGTAGAGAGGTTGACTTGGGCGAGGCGCTGGGCTCCTGCTGCAATCCCTTTAGTGTTCCTAGGAAAGGAAATTCTCACTTCCCTTCAGCGGCAGAAACGCTGCCCCAGAGAAGGTAAATGGAAATGACTGCAAATTGCAGGCAAGACGCTGTGGCTGTGTCCGTGTATGTACGGGATGTCCGGGAGTTTTTTTTTTTCTCTTTTTTTCTTTTCTTTTTGCAGTGCCAAAGATTGAACCCAGGTCCTCCCCACATGAGGTATGTGCTTGGGCTTCTGAAGCCCACCCCTGGGCTTTGGCATTATGTAAGATTAGGCGGGAACAGGGGCAAGTGCCATAGAAAATGGAAAGAGCAGAACAGGAAACTCAACAATTCCTCAGCTAATAACAACACAACTCATCCTGTCAGTCCCTTTGGTCCTGCTCGGTGGAACAGTCTAGAAAGGGCCAGCGATGGAAACTCTGCTGGGCTCCTTCCAGTCAGACTAACTGCCCTGCTGCCTGTTCACGCTCACACACTCTCACCTCTTCCGTGGATAGGGTGACGTTGAAGGCCCCTGCTGCAAAGTGAGCGAAGGACGCAGACTTCAGGAAATACTCAGAGATTGCAATGTAGAGCATTGAATTAGTGAGTTCTGGAAGCATCAAGGGGGCTGGGGAGAAGGGCGGATCAGAGAGGTTTTGCAGTGGGTAGAAGACCCCCTGTGGGAAAAAAACAGAAACAGTGTCCAGTAGAGACTCAGACGTTTATTTATTTTTTTTAATTTTAATTTTTTTTTTTGCTTTTTGGGTCACACCCAGTGATGCTCAGGGGTTACTCCTGGCTCTGCACTCAGGAATTACTCCTGGCAGTGCTTGGGGATGCTGGGATGCTGGGAATCAAACCCAGGTCGGCTGCATGCAAGGCAAACGCCCTACCCGCTGTGCTATTGCTCCATCCTGGAGACTCAAATGTTTAGAGTGAAAGGAGATCTAAGGAAAGTTCCAGAAACTTAGTAGGGACGGGGGTGGGGGAGGGGAGGCATGGGGGGGGAACAGAAATAAAAGATAACACCTTGGAATTCTTGGCTAGTGACTGTGTTCCAAGTCTTGGTTGACTTCCGTGCATATTTGGGCATAGCATGGGGGGCTCCCGGGACATTTCTGGGGGTCCCTTCTACAGGAAAAGGAAGGCGGTGCCTTGGCAGGGGAGACAGCTCTGACTGGCTCCTCGAGTGTTGGGTGGAGATGTCACCAGCCTGGCATACAACATTTGTTACACGGAGCTTCTGGGGTGTCGTGGGCAGACCCAGAAATGTGTGTTCCCTACTCTGGAGTGACCCGCATCTCTGAGACATGTTGTTCCTCTCTTTGCCAGGGTTACGGCATGTGCTTGCATGCATCTGGCCTTTGTTTGATCCCTGATACCCGTCCCGCAAACATGGCTGGGAGTGGCCGCTGAGCACAGAACCAGGAGTAGTCCCTGAGCACCTCAGGTGTGTCCGGTCCTCCATAGAGTAGACTCAGAAGGACCCAGGGCTGAGCGGCTTCATGTGTCTGTGGCATCCCTGCTACTGCCTTTATTAGTTGTCCAGAGTCAGGATAAAATGACACTTGAATAGCACTAAGATTGGAATGACTTGGAAGCCCAGGGGCACTTTCAAGACAATATCAAAGCCCCTGATCCTCACCAGGAGTGACTCTCAAGCAATGTGTGGCTCAGATAACCGTTTCTCGATTAAAGAAAAACAGCATCCAAGAGTCTCTTGAAAGAACATAAATTGGAGCTTGAAAGAAGTGAAATTATTTGGTGAACATGAGCTATATCTACTTTTTTGCATAATATCTATTCCCTGAAAGCTTGCTGAATGGGTAGGGATTCTGTTTTTGTTGTTTGGGGGTGTCACATTTGGTGGTGCTAGGGGGCTGTTGCAGACACATTGCTTGAGAGTCACTCCTGGTGAGGATCAGGGGCTTGAACCCAGGCCCCCGGCATGCAAAGCATGTTCAGTCTGTTGAACTGTCTCTTAGCCCCAGGAGGAGGTCTCTGGTAATGACAAAGTTACCTTCAAATTCAGATCCATGTAATTCTCAGTAACTTCTGGAAAACTGATTAGGGAATAATCCAGTATAGTATAGTTGTCAATCTTGGTTAACACTAAATAACAAAGAAAAAGGGATATTTGAATTCACTGAAGACATAGCACAATATAATGTCCACTCAGAGAAATACAATTTTTAATTCTCTCTTGTTTAAATTAACAATTATTCTATTTCCAAATTCATGCTTACTTTTCTAAGCCCAGGAAATGTACATAAGTCAAAGGAATAACCCGCAGCGTCAGAGTCGAACAATAAAATGTTTTTTTAATTTAAATATTTTCTTAATAATAGAAGAAACACCAATAAAATCCTGATGCTTAAGCCTTTATGTACACTTGTGTAAAAACATATACACAATGCATATAACACATTTAAATCAAAAGAAATTAGGGGCTTGGGGGGGAGGCTACAGAGGTTAAGGTGTGAAGGAAGGAAGGAAGGAAGGAAGGAAGGAAGGAAGGAAGGAAGGAAGGAAGGAGGGAAGAAAGGAAGGGAGGAAGGAAGAAGAAAAAAGAAATGCAAGAGGATAACTGGTAGATGGACTGATAGGTGGAAGGGGAGAATATCAGGGAGGTGAGGGATGGGAAAGAGACAAAATACGAGGGAAAAACTCCTAAATTCTTAGGTGCCAGGGTGTCTTGATGAATTATTGAGCCTCTGAGGGCTTCATTCCCCTCCTCTGAAAAAGGAGCATCTACCTGCTTCCTGCCAGCCCGGTGACAGGGTTTGCAGAAAGGGTAAATTTAAGGCATTTAAAAAAATTGTAGGGGCTGGAGTGGTAGTACAGCAGGGAGGGTTTTTGCTTTGCATGTGGCCAAGCCAGGTTCAATCCCCAGCATCCCATATGGTCCCCCAAGCACTGCCAGGAGTAATTCCTGAGTGTAGAGCCAAGAGTAACCCTGAGCACCGCTAGGTGTGAACCAAAAAGCAAAAAAAAAAAAAAAATTGTAATGAGGGGCCTAAGCAATAGCACAGGGCTTATGGAACTGCATGAGGTCCCCTCAGCACTGCCAGGAGTGATCCCTGAGCACTAATGGGTGTGTGGCCTCCAGATCCAAAACCAACAATCAAAATGGTAGTTATGGAGGGTGGAATTGTTCCCCACCATTGGAAAGTCCCCTTGTTCCCTGAGACCCTTAAATAAACTGGACATGAGGTGGGTGGGGAGAAGATGGGACATTTCCTGGAGCCAACGCTAGTCTTCATTCGGAGCACAGGCTGAGACCAGGGAAGCACCTTCAGGCCAGGGCTGGACCCCAAGCACTGCTCCTGCAAGTTCAGCCTGGCCTGGGCCCTGGAACCCATATTTCCTGCCATATGGCTGTTATAAGCCCTGTGCTATCGCTTAGGCCCCTCATTACAAATTTTTTTCTTTTTGGGTCACTCCCAGAGGCGCTCAGGGTTACTCTTGGCTCGGCACTCAGGAATTACTCCTGGCAGTGCTTGAGGGAACATATGGGATGCTGGGGATCGAACCCGGGTCAGCCACATGCAAGGCAAAAACCCTCCCTCCTGCGAGTTCAGCCTGGCCTGGGCCCTGGAACCCATATTTCCATAAGCCCTGGCCCTTGGCTGCCCCAGACTTGAATGAGCAACAATGCTGCCAAGACCGTCCTGGAGATTCAGTCCATCTCTCTGCATTCTCTTTTTTTCTTCCCCACCCCGATTACTTTTCTCTCTTTCTTTCTTTTTCTTTGGGCCACACAATAGCTCAGGGACCCCTCCCGGCTCACACCAAGAACAGCCCCTGTGTCCCTATGTAGATGTGCTCAGAGCATTATTGGTGCATGAACAGATGGAGTGAGATTCATACTGAGTATCGTGTAAGCCTAGAAGAGCCAGCACATGAGGTAGGGCAATCAGCTAAGATTTCTTTTTCTTGTGTGTGTGTGGGGGGGCAGTGGGGGTTGTGGGGTGCCACACTTGGAGATGCTCTGGACTTACTCCTGGCTCTATGCTCAGGAATAATTTCTGGTAGGACACGGGGTAAGAGGGATCAAACTCGGCCAACTTTGTGCAAGGCAAGCACCTCCTCATTGTACTATTGCTCCAGCCTCAGCTTAGATTTCTTGGCAAGGAGTCTGTGACAGAGTATTCAACTCTGTTCTATTGGTCTGGAGGTCTGTTTCTAGCCCAATACCATGTTGTTTTAATTACTACTGCTTTGTAGTACAGATAAAGCACCAAATGTGTATAGACTCTAGTATCTATATTGTAAACCATAATGCTCAAAAGGAGAGAGAGAGAGAGAGAGAGAGAGAGAGAGAGAGAGAGAGAGAGAGAGAGAGAGAGAATGGGGGAAATTGTCTGCCATAGAGGCATGGGGAGGATTGGAAGGGGAGGGTATACTGGGGACATTGGTGGTAGAGAATGTGCACTGGTGGAGGGATGGGTGTTCGATCATTGTATGACTGAAACTCAAACAGGAAAGTTTTGTAACTGTATCTCACAGTGATTCAATTTAAAAAAAGATTGTTTGGATATTTGGAGGGGAGGGGGGGTTGTTACTTCATATAAATTAAACAGCATTTGATAAAAAAAAAAAGATTTCTTGGTAGGGACTGGACACATGAGATGAGCTGGAAGTGACCGGGACAGAGAAAGGGATTGTGCCTTCCAGATCCCCCCAGGGTTTAGGGCTTAGCACAGTGCCCATAATGCCAATCAGAATTGACATCAGTGCTGCTGGACATATAATTCTCTGACCTGTGTTCAGCACCTGGGTTCTGAAGTCAGCCCCAGACACAGGCTGTGATCATCCCGACCCCCGCATGCAGAGCAGAGCACTAGAGCCGGGTGGCTGGAAGAGCCTGGAGAGGATGGGGAAGGGGGTGGAGAAGCACTGGCAAGAGACCATCTCGGAACTCACCTTCCAGCATGCTGAGGTTGGCATTCAGGGCTTCCACCTCACTGGTGACGATGGGGCACAGCTGGCCAGAAAAAAAGAACGGGGAAAATGCAGGTTAAGCTACGAGTCCCCAAACTCTCGATTTCTTTTCTTTCCTTTTCTTTTCTTTTCTTTTCTTTTCTTTTCTTTTCTTTTCTTTTCTTTTCTTTTCTTTTCCCTCCCTTCCTTCCTTCCTTCCTTCCTTCCTTCCTTCCTTCTTTCTTTCTTTCTTTTTTACAGTGAAAACTCGTCATGTTCAACTCCTCAAGCAGATACTGAGTAATGCCTGAATAGTTTTAAAATTTTAAGTATTAAAAATTTTAACACAGTGGTAGGGCCTTTGCCTTGCGTGCAGCCAGCCCAGCTGAGCCGAGTTCGATTCCTCCACCCCTCTCGGAGAGCCTGGCAAGCTACCGAGAGTATCTCGCCTGCACGGCAAAGCCTGGCAAGCTCCCCATGACATATTCAATATGCCAAACACAGTAACAACAAGTCTCACGATGGAGACGTTACTTGGCCAGCTCAAGCAAGTTGATGAACAACGGGAGGACAGTGACAGTTAAAAAATTTTTTTCATATTAAAGACATACATCTCATAGACATAGCAAATAATTTTCTGATACTTGGCAGACTTGCCTTTGTCCTTTTTTGCTTTTGGGGGGCCACACCTGGTAATGGTCTGGCTTACTCCCTTACTCCTCCTAATAGTGCTGGGGAATCAAACCTGGGTCTGTCATGAGCAAGGCAAGAGTGCTGCCCACTGTACTTACCCTATGTTCTTAACTATATATATATATATATATATATATATATATATTTAATGTATGAGTACTGCTATTTATTTAGCCATCGATTAAGCTGATTGAATTGGGCATAAACTCCATATTACTTCTTCTAAATTCAGAATGTTAATTTTATTTTATTATTATTATTATTTAATCACCATGAGATACAGTTACAAAGCTTTCCTTTTTTGAGTTTCAGTCATACAATGATCCCAACTCTTCACCAGTGCACATCTTCCACCACCAAGGACCCCAGTATCCCTCCATCCCATCCTTCCCCCTGACTCTATGGCAGACAATCGCCCAAATATATCTCTCTTTTGTATTGCTTGTTATAATAGCATAAGATGTCGTGTGGCCACAAGAGCGGCTGCATGCTCCTGGAACTCCAAAATTCCAGATAATTAGGGTCTGGAGAAATTTCTGCAGCGAGCTGCTCAGTTCCGAGATTCTTTTGTGTGTTTCTGGATCATTGCCGCCAAGGGGCTTAAGTAGCAAGCAGCTGGAGGCAATTTGTGGGCATGACCTCTAGGGTCCCATGGGATGGGGGACGGGGATGAGAAGGACCAGCCCACCCTCTATCCCTTGTGGCCTGGAAACCCTCGATTTCTGACGCTGCCTCCGAAGGTCTTCTGGTTTAGCCCAAGCCTTCCTCCCTCTCGCCAGAACTTTCCCTGAAGTGACTTGCTGCCTCTGGGCCTTAAGTTGCTATGTAAGAGAGGCCTGTCATCCATGATGGGGAAACTTCAGAGCCTCTGAGCCACTCCCAATGAGCCGCATGAAGGAGAGAGCCCTGGGCACTCTCTGTGACGCTGTGGCACATGAGGCTAGTCCAGGCTCAAGCTGTCCCACCCGTGGAACCTGCTCGGCCTTTCCAGCGAGGCTGGTACCTCCCAACTTGCCTCCTCCCTGGGCAGTGCCAGGTCCGGCAGGGAGTGATTGGGACCTGGCCCTGCTTCCCACTTGGCTGGTTTGAGCACCCAGGAGCTCACACATCTGGGAAGCAGCCCTTCAGAAACTGGCCTGGAGTCAGAGCCAGCCACCCCTTCAGGAAGGAGGAAGGGAGCCAGGAGCCTGGGCCTGCCATGTGCCGAGAGCTAGGAGGCCCGCAGCCTCCCTCTGTGACCATTTGCCTCAACTCGGCCCTCAGTGCGCCCTGCCAGCCAGAGGGGTCTTTGCTCTATGTACCTCACTGCGTGTCCTGAGTGGACACTGAGGTGCTCAATATAGCTGTCCAGCTCACAATAAGCACTCTGGAAATAGGAACAATTTGGTTTGTTTTTCTTCTTCGGGGCCACACCTGATGATGCTCAGGGGCGATTTCAGGAATCACTCCTGATGGCACTCGGGGGAACTCTGTGGGATGCCAGGGATTGAGCCAGGATGGGCTGTGTGCAAGGCAAGTGCCCAACTTGCCATGCTATCACTCTGCCCACCCCCCCCTGCTGCTTTATTTTCTCCTCGGGGCCCTCTAGAGTTATGTCCGGGGATTCTCGGGAGGCCATGGATTGCCCCCTGTATGCAGCCGAGTGGCTGCTGCCTTGGTCCTGTCTTCTCACTGTAACCTGGGATTAGGTACTCACTCGCTCTTACAACTGCAGTCACCCTCTCCAAGTAGGGACAGTGAGACTCAGAGACTTGAGTCTCTGGGAGTTGTCTGAAACTGGTTCCATGCTACCAGTAGAAAGCACATTCTGCCGTATTTTCTAAAAGTGGCTGGGGAGACTCAGAGGAGCAAATGATCCCTAGGTCCTCTGGAGCCCAGGGCTGACCTGACTCCTGCTTCCTCTCAGAGGCCAAAGCACTGTGCTCCTTCAGGACACAGGACTGTGGCCAGCAGGGTCTCTGTGGCGGTTCTCTGTGACGGGTCTGCTCTGTCCCAGTAGCTGTTTTATCTGCAGGGGCAGCACTGCCCGCTAAGGGGGGACAAATGGGAAGCTTTGGAGTCTCCTGCTCTGCAGACAGCCTTGTGGACATGCTGCTTAATATTTCTGAATGTATTATTATTATTATTATTATTATTATTATTATTGCTTTTTGGGTCACACCAGGTGATGCACAGGGGTTACTCTTGGCTCTGCACTCAGGAATTACTCCTGGTGGTGCTCAGGGGACCATATGGGATGCTGGAAATTGAACCCAGGTCAGCCGCATGCAAGGCAAATACCCTGCTCGCTGTGCTATCACTTTAGCCCTTATTATTATTTTTAATTAAATTAAAATTTTTTGGTGGAGGAGCATACCATGCCGTGCTCAGGGCTTACTCCTGACTCCGTGCCCTAGGATCACTCCTGGTGGGCTCAGGGAACTATGGCATGCAGGGGATCAAATCTGGGTTGGTTGCATACAAGGCTCTCTACCTACTATTCTATCACTTTGGACCGTTTCTGAGCTTTGATTTCCTCCCCGTATCCCTGAGGGACCACCTGACTGCCAGTGCAGAGCTGAGTACCAGGTGACCAATGGTGCCCCACACCGGAACAGCCCTTTCTGCCAGAAAAATTCTCCCTGCTTGTCCATTCCTGCTCCTCCTCTCCTTTTTGCCTTTAAAACATGGGGAAAGAGTTCAGTGGAGTCATGGTCAGGCTGGGAAAGAGGGTCACACAGTCCGTTCTTTATTTCCCTTCCTCAAACGCTGGCTTCTGGAATCGAGAAGTTGGACATGCCAAAGCATCTTAGCTGGTGCCTCTCTACTGACCCAGCTACCCTCCCCGCTTCCCCATCCCCAACTCTCCAAGCCCAACCAAGACTTTAGGGGCCAGTTCTACTCCTGTGTCCTCTAAATCATTATCTCCAGGACACTTCCAACCTGTCTGTATTTACTCTCCCCATGTCTTGGATCTCTTGTGGTTCAAGCTCATGCTCATCAAAGTATGCTTTTTGCAGGTCTCATTTTGCAGCTAGATTTTGGTTTTCTAGAAAAAGAAATGGACTATCCTTCTCTCATACCCCCTTGTCTAGTGGGGGAAGGGGGCATGCAGTAGGAGTGAAATGAGTCAGAAAGAGAGGGACAGACATAGAAAGATTGCATTCATCTGTGGAACATAAAGTAACAAAATAGGAGACTAATACCTATGAATAGCCGAGACAAGTATCAGGAGGTTCACTCCATGGCTTGGAGGCCAGCCGCACATGCTAGGGGAAAAGGGAGCTCAGATAGAGAAGGGAGCACTAAATAAAGGGTGTTGGGAGGATCCTCCCAGGATGAGAGATGCATGCTGAAAGTAGACTGTAGACCGAACATGATTGCCACTCAAGGTTTCTTTTGCAAACCACAGCACCCAACAGGAGAGAGAAAACAAAAGGGAATGCCCTGCCACAGGGGTAGGGTGGGATGGGGGCGGGTGAGGGGTGGAGGCGTGGGAGGGATACTGGGAGCACTGGAGGTAGAGAATGGGCACTGGTGGAGAGATGGGTACTCAATCATTGTATAACTGAAACCCAAGCACAAAAAATAGTAACCCTACAAATATACCACATGGTGTTTGACCAATAAAAAAAAAGAAAAAGACTTACCATTTCATTTAAATTCCTTAAAATGGGCTTCTCCATGGGTTCAGCAAAGGAGTTATACAGGACACTAGAAACAAAAGAGATAAAAGGTGGGGCGGGGGTGGGGGGTTGTGCTCAGGGACCAGACTCTGCAGTTAGAAGCCAGAATCTACCCGCATTGCCAGCCATAGATGAACCACTGGCCCCTGTTCCCTCACCTGAGCTCTCCGGAAAATGTGACGTGGGCATGGCTCACTTGGGCGTGGCAGTCCTGGAGCATCAGGATTGGGTGGCCAAAGTCATTCCGGGTCAGGACAACAATGCCCGAGAAGAAGACCCCAGAGAGGAACAGATCAGCCCCTCCAAAATCTTGGCTGTGGGGAGGCAAAGGGCAAGGTTACTTAGGGGAAGAAGCCTGGGTTGGTGTGGGGGCAGAACCCCTGTCATAGAGCCATCATAGCCCCTTCTGAGTCCCACCACTGAGCGCAGGGAGAAGAGGGGGCAGGGAAGGGGCACTTCATGAATGAGTGAATGAATGAAGTGATGCCTGAGGAGTAGGGGCAGTTGTAGGAACCTTGTGGCTCCTCTGTCCCCCCTCCCCCCTGTGCACTGGCTCTTACAGCGTTCAAGCTTGCATTGAGCACCCTTCATGATAGAATAATTCCTGTTGAGTTTCTATTTGCTTCATTTTTATTTTTGTTTTTGTGCCAAGGGCTGGAGCAATAGCACGTGCAGCCAGCTACCGAGAGTATCTCACCTGCATGGCAAAGCCTGGCAAGCTACCCATGACGTATCCGATATGCCAAACACAGTAACAAGAAGTCTCAAAATGGAGACGTTACTGGGCCTGCTCGAGCAAAATCGATGAACAACGGGAGGACAGAGTGTTTTGTTTGTTTTGTGCCACATCTTGCAATGATTCCAGACTTTCTCGTGGCTATGCACTCAGGGATCACTCATGGGGGTGGGTGGGGGAGTTCAAAGGACTATATGGGGTACCTGGGCTGGAACCCGATCAGGTCAGCTGTGTGCAAGGAAAGCACCTGAGCGAGCCCCTGTACTGTCTTTCCAGCTCCTTGGATATTTTCTGGAGGGAATGTAGGGGTGCAGTGGGTCTTCAGGGTGGCGCTAGAATATAGTGGCACTGAGAACTCTCTGAGGGAGGAAGTGGAGTGTGTGGTTTTCATCTCTGTCTCCAGGATTTAGCTTTTGACGTGACACAGAATAAACACTCAGTGTATGGGTGGTGAATGAGTCAGTGAGGAAATGAATAAATGAATAAATGAATCTATAGTACTTGGTGTGTGTGTGTGTGTGTGTGTGTGTGTGTGTGTGTGTGTTTATTTTCTTTTCTGTATTTGGAGGGAGATTTGGGGCCATTCCTGGTGTTGGTCTGCCTATTCCTGACTCTCTGACTCTGTGCTCAGTTGTTACTCCTGGCAGTGATTGGGAGATCATGTGGTGTGAGGGCTTGAACCAGAGTCAGCCACATGCAAGGCAAATGCCTTAAGCCCTATACTACATCTCTTCTAGAATTTTTTTTAATTCTTTTTTGGATGCACCCAGAGCTTACTCCTGGTTCTATGCTCAGGGATTACTCTTGGTGGGACCTGGGAGACAGTATGGGGTGCAGGGATTAAATCCAAGTTGACCGTGTTAAGGCAAATACCCTACCCACTGTATGATCACTTTGGACCCACAAAATATGTTCAACAGTTAACAACACTGGAATTCTTGGACAGGTCCTGAATTCCTTATAAATAGATACAGCTCACTGAATGCTGGTTGAATGACACCCTTAATGAGTGAATGACTGGGTTATTCTAGGGCACTCATACAGGTGGGATATAGCCATGTCAGGAACTTGCCCAAACAGGGGGGTCTGACCTGTGCTTGTTTCCTCTTTTTTCTAGCAGAGGTGCAAGAACCTTTGGTAGGGAAAGAACTGGTTTCAAACTCACTACCCTCCTCCAACGCATGCTGAGCTAGGATAACTATTTCCCTTCAGCTGCCTCTACAGATGGGGAAGGCTGTTGGAAGACAGGGTTAAGAGAAAAAAGTTATTCCAGGTCTAAAATACTGAGCTCGAGGGCCAGAGTGATAGTACAGAGGGTAGAACTTGCACATGGCCGGACTGGGTTAAATCCCGGGCATCCCATATCATCCCCCGAGGCCTCCAGGAGTGATTTCTGAGCACAGAGTCAGGAGCAAGTCCTTAGCATTGCCAGGTATGACCCTTTCCCACAAAATTTAAAAATTAAAGAAAATTGAGCACAGGTTCATTCTCTTAATATTGTAAGAAATCTTAAATTAGGGGCCAGCGCAATAGTACGGCGGTGAGGAGGCATTTGTCTTGTACGCAGTTGACCTGGGTTCTCTCCCCAGCATCCCATATGGTCCCCCAAACACTGCTAGGAGTGATTCTTGAGTGTAGAGCCAGGAGCATCGCTGAGCACCGCTGGGCATCACTGAGCACCGCTGGGTGTGGTCCAAAAAGCCAAATAAATAAATAAGAAAAAAAGAAAAAAGAAAAGCAACGAAATCTTAAATTATATGTGTGCATGTGTGCATAGAGAGTGTGCATGTGTGTGTGTGTGGGGGGGGGCACACCAGGTCAGTGCTGCTCAGGGAATACTCTTGACTTATTGCTCAGGGGTTGTCCCCGGTGCTGCTAGGAGGACCCCGAGGTACCAGGAACTGAACCCAGACCATCAGTACACGAAGCCTGAGCCCCATCCCTCTGAGTCATCTCCCCGGCCCCAACGGACTTTTCTTTTTCATTTTTATTTCTCTTCACTTGATTCATTACTCTTTCTATAAAGGAGGGATGCTTTCCCACCCTCTTCCTTCTCCTTTCCCTCTCTGCTAGAAGGGATTTTCTCATTTAAATTTCCAGTGGGTCAAAAAGAGAACTCTTGAGAAAGATTGTTAATAACTGAGGGAGACCAAAGAGACTGTACAGGCCAGGTGCTTGCCTTACACGTCACCAACATGTAACATGAGCAGACTCTAGTTTAATCCTCAGCACTGTTGATGGTCCCCTGAGCACTGCCAGGAGTGATACCCTGAGCACAGAACCAGGAGTAGCACCTGAGCACTTCTGGGTGTAACCCCAAAGCCAAGCAACAACAACAAAACCAAGGGAAGGAAACAAGTCCAAGGTAAGGAACACATCAGAAGGCCAGAGAGTTCAATGGGCTGGAGGCCTGCGCTCAATCCAGGGCACTCAAGTTGCCTTGAGTCGCATAGAACTGAGGTGTAAGCAAGGCATCAGCACCCCCGGGCATGGCCCATCCCCATCCTCGTCCCCCAGAAGAGCCACTGCGTGTCATGGGGATACTCACAAGAGTGGAGACTTGAATTCCCAGTCGGTGCTGATGTTGGCAGTGCCATGGTTGGTCAGGACTCTGATTCCCACCCCGGGCACGAAGGACAATGAAGTGTTTGGAAACGAAAAGGCGTTGATTGATATGCTGTGAGACAAGAAACAGAGGGTTAGCGTGACTCTCCAAACACAGGGCTAAGACAACGGAAATCAGAAACTGGTTCTAGAATTCCCACTGGGGAGGGCTCCTCCGGGTGCTGCCTTTATCTCTCTATCTCATGCTAGGAAGCCCCCTGTGTCTTATCTAGCCCCCTGTATGTCAGATAGAGAAGAAAGCATGTTCAGATAATTCTGCTAAGGGCCGAAGAGATGACTCAAATGGGTGGAGTGCATGCATTGCATACGGGAGGCCCCGGGTTGGATCCCTGGCACCACACAAAACGCAGAACCAGCACTTCAGGTGTGGCCAAACACATAAATAAAGACAACTCCTTCTTTTGGCCACTGCACTCAGCGCTTACTCCTGGCTCTGCACTCAGGGCTTACTCCTGGCTCTCAACTCAGGGATCATTCCTGGAGGGTTCAGGGAACCACGTGGAGTGCCAGGTATTAAACCAAGGCCAGCCACATGCAAGACAAACAACCTTACCCCCTGTACTGTCTCTCTGGATCCCAAGTCTTTCTTCCTTCCTCTCTGCCTCCCTCCCTTCCTTCCTCCCCCTCCCTCCCTTTCTCCTTTCCTCCCTCCCTCCCTCCCTCCCTTCCTTCGTCCCTCCCTCCCTCCCTCCCTCCCTCCCTTTCTTTCTTCCTCCCTCCTTTGCTCTCTTCTTCTTCCCTCCCTTCCTTCCTTCCCTCCTTTCTTCCTCCCTCCCTTTCTCTCTTCTTCTTCCCTCCCTCCCTCCCTCCCTCCCTCCCTCCCTCCCTCCCTCCCTTTCTTCCTTCTTTCCTTCCTTCCTTCCTTCCTTCCTTCCTTCCTTCCTTCCTTCCTTCCTTTCTCCCTTCCTCCCTCCCTCCCTTCCTCCCTCCCTCCCTCCCTCCCTTCCTTCCTTCCTTCCTTCATTCCTCTTTTCCTCTTTCTTTCTTATCTCAGGGCTTACTCCTGACTCTGTGCTCAGGGGTCACTCCTGGTGGTACTTCGGACCATATGTGGTGCTGAAGACTGGTATGGGGCTGGTTGTACTCAAGGCAAGCACCTTAAGTCCTATACTATCTCTCTTACCCAAATAACTGATTTCTTTAGTTCTTTATTTATAGACAAAGGAGGTACAACATTACCAGTATTATTTTTTCCCTCCAGCTTTCCAGTGTTTCCCATGGGGATAGGGCCATTATTATTTTGGATGGGATGCACAACTGTCTTTGTAACAAACAGTTAAAGATTTAGCAAATATGCCAACTCGCAGCACTCCTCCATACCCCACGGGGTTGCCTGAGGGTGACTGCTTGGTGCCTTTTTGATTCCAAATGCCCTATGCTCAGGACATTCATTAGTGGAGAAACTTATTTTAGACACTGAACTTTCCCTAGGCTCCTCTGAGCTGCTAGACAGAAAACTAGGAGACAGACGTTTGTGTGTAATTCTGTAAGCCACATGCCTGTGCTCAATTACTATGACCAGCTTTGGGGATTCTTTCCTGCCAGTCACTGTGTCTATGCATTAACTCATTTGAACCCTCCTGATAATCCCAGGAGGCCAGTGCTGGTTTTGCAATTTGCATTTTAGTCACAAAATGATAAGGAACTTGGCTGGAGTCCCTGTAAGTTGTAGAACCACACCTAGCACTCTCTCGGTCTGTCTTCAGACCATGCTCCTAACAGTGAATAGTGCCCACTGGGTTCTCTTAACATTTTTGCAAAGGGCACTTGACTTGGAGCTAAGTTTTGTGCTGGCTACGCATTCTTGGGTGAGGCGCTTCACATCGTAGGGAGAGAGAGCACAGTGGGTAAGACGCTTGTCCTGCAGGTGGCCAAACTGGGTTCATCTCTGACATCCTATATGGTCCCCCAAGCACTGCCAGGACTGATTCCTGAGTGCAGAGCCAGAAGGAACCCCTGAGCACTGCAGGATATGGCTCCCTGATCCGCAAAAAGTTACTTCACCTTCTTCAGTCAGTTGCTCACTCAGAGGCAGTGCACCTCCTCAAGGTGGTGGAAAGACAAAATGGGATCATGTGCGTGTAACTGGGGCCCAGGATGGGACCATTTGTGTAACTGTCCCAGGAATGGGATCATGTGTGTGTGTGTATAACTGTATTCTCAGAATGGGAGCATGTGTATGTAACCATGTCCCAGGAATGGAATTGTGTGTGTGTGTGTGTGTGTGTCTGTGTGTGTCTGTGTGTGCAACTGTCCCAGGGCCGAGGCACTGTCACAGGCTTTGGAAAAATTGAAAACCATAAATATGGTAAGAAAAGGTTTGTTATAATTTTCTCTTTTCAGCATCCTTTCCTCCCTATTCTATCACTCATTTGTGGGATTACATAGCATGTAGTAGGTGCTCAATACATTCTTGTGAACTCGCTGAGTTGGTTATTACAGAGAATGATATCTGCCAACAACTTACCCTCATTCGTTCCCCCAATCTTGGTTTTCTTGTATATCATCCTGAAAACCTGGGAATTTATGACTCCAAAGTGTTGGAGGAGAGGGAAATAAACTGGACTGATGAGGCATTGGGAGCAATTGGGAGCCACAGAGAATCCTCCTAAGTAGGTGACGCTGGCCTTTAGGAGTGAGCTCAGGGTGAGCAAAACCTCCTCTTCCCACACTTTCCCTGGGACTCCCCTTACCAAGGGTGGTGGTGTTTTTCTGTTACTCTCTGAACATCCATTTCTTTATTAAATATCCTGAGTTTGTTCAGAATCACAACAATGTCTGGCTAAAAAGCGAATTTCCCAGCCTCCTTTGCAAATAAGTGGGGAGAGTGACAAAATTCTGGCCATCATTGTCAGCAGAATAGAGATAAAAGCTTTAGGACAGAAGCTCCTGGAAGACACTAACTCAGATTCTTGCCACTTCCCCCTTCCAGAACCTGAAACACCCACTTGGGAAGTCTCAGTGCTCACAAGGCAGCTTTGAGACAAGAAACCAGTGCTGAGGAGGGTAAAGCAGAAAAGCTGAAGAAGGCAGGACTGGGCCTCATGAACTCAGGGGGCTCCCATTGGCTCCCACCGTGGCCTCCTTTGCCAGACAAAACCTACTACTGTTATACCTAGTTCACTGTAATTTTCTGTCATATTAACTTTATGTTAACTGAATTTTAGTTCTAACTATACACAATCTCCAGAGCCTGTACTGAGTGAAACAAGAGTCTGAATCAAGGAGGCTATTCCACTGACCTCCCAAGCAATGTCCTGGAACTACCATTAAGGAGTGTGTGTGTGTGTGTGTGTGTGTGTGTGTGTGTGTGTGTGTCCTGCACCACGTGTATGGCAGTTGCGACTTCGGAGAGTTCCATCACCTCTGATTATTGTCTACTTCTTACTCTTCACAGATTTGGACCTTTATTCTGTGACTATCTAGAGACTGACACACTGTCAACTCTGTCAGAAGAGAGTGTTTATTGGAAAATTAACTTGTGTTGCATTCAGAGAATACAGGAAGGTTCTGAGGCTATCCAGAGTGGGGCAGAGCGTGGGGGGAAACTACAGAGCATGAGACCAAGAGAAGACATTTGCGTTGCTCCAGAGAAGGAGGTCAGGGCGCTAGCTAGTAAGAGGCTGAAAGATCACATGCCCTGTAACCCATTTAGTAGCGTCTAAAGTCTGGATTAATGTAACGTCAGTACAGTCTGGATTAAGCAATTATTGAAGTCTGGATTAAAATAAGGCAAGTACAGTCTGGATTAAAGTAATGAAAGAAGTCTGGTAGAGCACAGGCTTGCACTATAAAGTCCCTTGCACTTGATCCTCTGCCCTGTCAAGATTAACCAAAGCACTGACTAACACAAGTCTTTATGGGCATAGGTTTGCTCGAGATTGCACTTGGATTCTGCATGTAGGTGTGCAGGAGAAGAAACTGTAACAAGGGAATAACTAGTATGTCATTTAACATTGGTGGGCAACGTGACTGCAGCTGACATCACATTGATGGAACCCTCATTTTAGGGACAAAGGAGGAACATGAAAAGTCTCATCTGAGAAGCCCAGTGCCCACAACAAGTGAGCTGTCCAAATGGGACTAGGGCCCAGATGCCACACCTTTGTCCACTTGACGATTCCTTCCTTGGGTTGTTTTTCAGAGCAGCTTCTTGCCACAGACTGCCAAGTCTCTACTGTACTGGTTGTGGGGTCCCACCAGAGCACGGCGGGGGGTGGGGCACATCCACCACCCTGGGGTCTCAGATGAATTTCACAGCTGAAATCGCTCTTCCGGTTTCGACTTACTTTGAAAAATTGTAGTCCACATAGTCAACCTTCAGAAATTCCAGGGATTCCGAGCCTTTTAAGTCTGGGATGTTTCTTTCCTTGAGCATTTGCTCCATCATCTCCAACCCAGCTCGGACACCTGGGAAGAAAGCAAAGACAGAGTTCTTGAGAACTAACATGACTGCACTGACCCCATGAGTGAGATGCATTGAGTATAACATGGCCCTGCACTTAGAAAAGAGAAGTCTACAGAGTGGGTTACTGTGCTTGGTGCACAGATGAAAATGAACTGTGTTATACATGTATACACTTCAGACAGACTGAGGAAGATGGCCACATCCCCAGAGCTAGCAGCAGGAGAGAAGCTCATTGTGCGGCCTGCACAGAAGAATGTCTTCACGAGACAGCATTTTAGGAACAGCACAGAATATCACCCTTACCCATATTTTCAGGAGGATGCAACTAAGCTTCATGGATGTCCATTTTTTTGGCCTAAGTCACCAATTGAGATTGAGGGACCCATGGTTCAAATCAGGACAATCTTGCTAGAGTAGACACACCTTACTCCCAGTTCCAGAGATCTCCTCACATTCCCCTCCTCCCACCTCTCCTGATGTTTGAAGCTCAGGAATTTCTGACCTAAGATCCATGGACTGCTGTGAATTCTTGAACCCTCTGGAAGTTTAATAAAAGTGCTATGTGTGTGTGTGTGTGTGTGTGTGTGTGTGTGTCTGTGTCTGTGTCTGTGTCTGTGTGTGTCTGTGTGTGTGTATGCGACATACACATATTTCTCATTCTTCAGGGGAGAGACTCACATTTTCATCAGATTCCCCAAGCCTCCCATTACCCCAAATAGGTTAGTAACCACTCTTTTTTTTTCGGGGGGGAGGTCACAGCCGGTGATGCACAGGGGTTACTCCTGACTCATGCACTCAGGAATTACTCCTGGCAATGCTCGGGGGACCATATGGGATGCTGGGAATTGAACCCGGGTCTGCCTCATGCAAGGCAAATGCCCTACCTGCTGTGCTATAGCTCCAGCCCACCACTCTCTTTTTAAAAAAAATTTTATTTATTTTTTATTAAAAATTTTTTTAATAGTGAGACATGATGAGGTACAGTTGCAGACTTACACATTTTTGTGCTTGGGTTTCAATTATACAATGATCAAATACCCATCCCTTCACCAGTGCCCATTTCCCACCACCACGGATCCCAGTATCCCTCCCACCCCCCATCCCCCCATCCCACCCTGCCTCTGTGGCAGGGCATTCCCTTTTGTTCTCTCTCTCTTATTGGGTGTTGCCACCACTCTCTTTTTGAATTCTACAATAATGCCAACTATATGACTCTGTGAGTAATAAATCCCTCTTCCCTTATCTATGATGGGGTCTTTAGTAATCATAAAAAGGTCTGTACAAATGTGAAAGTGACATTAACCGTCATTTTTGGACAATGGCTATTGTGTGTTGCACATAAGGGGATTCCTAGAATAGCTCTATGGACAGGGACTCTTACTACAAGCCCCATTTTGCTAAATATCTACTGACAACATACACATCTAATTTTTTTTCAGGAAAAAATTAGGGACTGGAGAAATAGCATAGAAAGTAAGGTGCTTGCCTTTTATGAGACTGACCTCTCATGACCTCTTTCTATCCCTGGTAGTCCAACTAGTCCCCTGGACATCATTAGGAGTCATGACTATGCACATTAGTGGTGCTTCAGAAATAGCCCCTGAGCATCATTAGGTGTGGCCCAAACTGTCCCCTTACACACATAAAGACAAGGGCTGGGATAAAAGAATGGTGAGATAGAACGTTATGGTTTTTAATGAGTATGTGCCATGACTGTGTATACTCTACACCCAGCTCTCTCTCAGTTCATCTACAATCTATCTCATTTTTTTTCTTTCTTTTTTTTTCTTGGCTTAACCAGGCATTTATCAGGGGTTATTACTGATTCTGAACTCAGGAATTACTCCTGACATGCTCAGGGGAACAGATAGGATGGCGGTGATTGAACCCTAGTTGACCATATGCAAGGCAAGTGCCTTCGTCACTATGTTATCTCTCCAGCCCCCTATCAACCTATTTTTTTGGTGGGTCTGGTGGTTGAATGCCTTTCAAATACAAGACAAATGCTCTGCTGTTCATCTACATCCCTGGTCCCACACATTCTCTCCTTTGTCACTCTATTAATAGAGTTTTCCAATCCTAGGTAATATTACAGCTATTTTCATAGAAAGACAGCTAAAGCCTGAAGAGATGTACTAAGCACAGCGGTAGGGCGTTTGCCTCGCATGCAGCCAACATGGCCGACCCAAGTTCGATTCCTCCGCCCCTCTCGGAGAGCCGGGCAAGCTACCGAGAGTATCTCGCCCGCACGGCAGAGCCTGGCAAGCTCCCCGTGACGTATTCGATATGCCAAACACAGTAACAACAAAGTCTCCAATGGAGACGTTACTGGGCCCGCTCGAGCAAATCGATGACCAACGGGAGGGCCTTTACTCCAGAGCCAAAACCAAAAAAAGAAAAACTTTCTTTAGGACAATAGAGTGTAGGTTCTGAGGTCAGGTCATACAGACCTGAATTCATATTTGTTTGTTTGTTTGTTTGTTTTTGGGCCACAACTAGTGATGATACTCAGGGTTTACTACTGACTCTGCACTCAGGAACCACTCTTGGCAGTGCTGAGTTCATATCTTTTTATTTATTTATTTATTCTTTATTTATTTATTTATTTTTTGGTCACACCCAGCAATGCACAGAGGTTACTCCTGGCTGTGCACTCAGGAATTACTCCTGGCATTGCTTAGGGGACCATATGGGATGCTGGGAATTGAACCCATGTTGGCCGTGTGCAAGGCAAATGCCCTACCCACTGTGCCATCGCTGCAGCCCCTGAGTTCATATCTCAATGTGAAAGTTTACTTTGGCCTTTTTAAGGCCCGGGCTTGTCCTCTGTCAAAGGATGATGCCATTTCCATTATGTTGTTGGAATCAGACCCACCTAGGAGCTCTCAGGTATGTGTCAAAGAGCCTGGACACAGTTGATGTTCAGGAAATGGTTCGTACATCAGCTCAAGGTGGTGTCTGGGTCCGAGGAACAGAACTGAGGCTCATGGCCAAGTGGATGGCTTCAGATCTGCTCTTCATCCCTATTTTCTTTATTGGTGACTGGGATGGAACCCAGGGCCTCGGGCATGCAAGGCAAGTAGTGCTATATTGCTGAGCCACATCCCCGGCCTCTTTTGATCTGTTCTTTTAATTGTCCTGATTTGGGGGGCAAAAGAAGCTACATGCAAAAAAACTTTGATACTGTGGCCAGATGCCTATTTCTAATGAACATTTCTGTGGACATCAACAGAGCAACAAGATACACATGCATATTTTCAACTCACACATTTCCGAAAATATCACAAGCAATTGTGCAAGATGGAATCAATTTTAGGTTGCCCTATGCCAGATGAGATCCTGCAAAAGGATTTTCCTCAAACCAATCTTTCCTCCCTCCTACACTTCCTTCTTTCCTCCCGCCCCCCCGCCCCCCCGGGTGTAGTAGGAGAGGTATTTCTTTGTTATATTTAGGCATTTCTTAGACTTACAATGTCTAGGTTGGTTGCTTTAACTTCAAAAATTTAAGCACAACCTGTCATTAGCTAAACTCAGGCAAATATGCTCAGGGTGAAAATGAGTCCACAGACTTGCATTTTTACACTCTACTTTTTCTACTTGATTTGTAACCATTCAAGTTAGCACAAAGAAAATCTCCGTCCAATATCTTTCTTTCTTGTGTGTTAGCAGACTCTGAGTTCCTTTCAAAATCAGCTCCTTCGGAAGCTCTATGTTTTCTATTCATTTTATTTTTAGGTTTGGGGCCACATTCATTGGTGCTCAGGGCTTACTCCTGGCTCTGTTCTCAGGGATCTCTCCTGGTGGTGCTCAGGGTCCACATGTAGTGCTGGGAATTGAACCCAGGTCAGCTGCAAACAAGGCAAGTACCTTCGCCCCTGTGTTATCTCTGGCTCTGCTACATTTTCTTTTTTCTTATTTCTCAATGTATTTTTTAACTCTTTTTTTTCTTTTTTGGGTTACACCCAGCAATGTACTGGGGTTACTCCTGGCTTTACACTCAGGAATTACTCCTGGAAGTGCTCAGGGGACCATATGGGAAGCTGGGAATTGAATCCGGGTTGGCCGCATACAAGGCAAATGCCCTACCCGCCGTACTATTGCTCCAGCCCCCTTTTTAACTTTTTTATTGAATCATTGTGATATAGACCATTACAAAGCTGTTCATGACTGGATTTCAGTCATACAGTATTCCAATTCCTTTTACTCACAGCTCTTCTTTCCGGCAGCCTTGCATGCTACCCCCTTTAGAGGAAAGGCTCGTGGAGCACATGCCGGGGGAGAGGGAAATCTGACCTTGTGTCTGGATATGCCTCATGCAACATAAGCTCTTCCCAGCTGTCCTTACCAGCCTGCAAGGGACTGAAGCTCTCCCAATAGTGCATCTCAGTCATGAGGCAACAGGAGCTTCTGGGTCTGGGCCATCGACTCTCCCTGCTCCAGCCCAGCTGCTGAAAGCATCAACTCACCATAGTCCAGAGCCCGCTGCGTAATCCTGGCCTTGATTCCAGGGTAAGCAGCCTCAGAGGAGGAGATGTAGACATTCCACAGGAGAAAACATCCCCAGAGCATTGGGACCACCTTGGCATGCATCTGCAATCAAACAACAAATACAGTTCCTTGAAGAGTCTTGAACTTCTCAGTGGGCAACTTCATTTAGCATGTCTAGGTTTTCTGCGTGTGATTTCGTGCATGTGAAAATAGACGCCTTGTCCTTGACTTCTTCCCACAGACTAGCGGAAGAGTCACACGCATGCAAGACTGATTATAAAACCATATCACGTAATGTAAAAGCCATGTAATAAAATGATGCAACAGTTGGGGTAAGTCTGGGAATGGCCCTGGGTGTGAGGTGGGGGTGGGGGAGGGGTACTTGATGGTTCTTGAATAGCTGAGTGAGTAGTTTAGAAAGGTGATCTCAGGGGTGGATAGGGTGTTTGTCTTGCATGCAACACACCTGCGTTAGATCCCTATCATCCTACATGGTCCCCCCCAAGCCCACCAGGAGTAAACCCTGAGAACCACCAGGTGTGAGCAAGGGAATCCTATGCAGTGCCTGGGATGGACCACGTGCCAGGCCATAGGTGCTGTACTATCTCTCTGGCCCCTTCACAAACTTCTCTCAAATTCCTGCGTCCCACCTTCGGTCCAAGTGGCTGTGCTGAGTCAATCACCCCGAGTACTTTCTAGTCCCCACCTGGCCCATTTTCCCACAATGGAGAATTTTGGTTTAATCTCCCAATGAAAACACCACACACGTACGTCACACCCACTCTCTCTGCCTCCTTCCCTTTTCCCTCGGCAACCTATACTCCCATTGTGTCGGGAGACCGGAAAGACAGGATGGGGGTCAGGTGCTTGTCTTGCTCGCAGATTGATCCCCAGGATCCCATTGGGCCCCCGGGGAACCTTCACGAGTGACCCTGCACACAGAGCCCGAGCAAGCCCTGAGCACCACTGGGTGGGGCCCACCTCCAGAAAAAAATAAAAAGATTAAAAATAATACTTGCCTTGCAATCGCAAGGCAATGAGTCAGATCCCTGGTGCAGCCCGCTTATGTCAACCTTGGTGCTGCCAACTGCGCTGTCTGGGACCCCTAGCACCATAACAAAGTGTGTGCACAGAGCCAGGTGCGTGCTAGCCCTCCCTCCTCCACCAAGTGAGCACAACTAGAAAATCTGTGAACTCTGCTCCAATCCCAAACGAGTGTGAATACTGTTGACCCCATGAGCACCATCACCCGAGTTTCTAACACTGTAACCGAGTGTCTGTGACCCTCGTTACAGCTGTAACAACAGTGACAAGGTAAAGGGCGGGGAAATAAAATGAAGTTGGATCATGTCACCCCTGACCTCATAGAGTGGCTCCCCATCTTACTGCATGTAAAGAGGCAGAACCCTAGGGGCCGGAGAGATGGTGCAGTGGGTAGGGCACTTGCCTTGCATGCAGTTGATCCCAGTTAAATCTCTGGCACCACATTTGGTTCCCTGAGCACCACCAGGAGTGAACTCTGAGCACAGAGCCAGGAGTAAGCCATGAGCACCACCAGGTGTGTCCCCCCAGCCCTCTCTTTCACTGAAAGGTAAAGCTGGGAATGGGTGAGAGAACGTTTCCACCAGGCAGCTAAGCCTCCCCCAGACCTCCCCTTGTTCGTGGATATTTGGCCTAGCCCAAGTCTCAAGGGACAACTGATCTTTCTAGAACACTCTAAGCAGCTTGTAGCCCAGCATCTTTGGGCTTGCTCCCCAGCCTGGACCAACCATCCTCCAGAGAGCCACAGAGCTTTCCCTTTGCTCACACAAGGCAGGACTGGTCTCCAGGAAGCCTTTCCAGAACATTCTACACTAAATAATCACCTTCTCAAATCCTCGTATTTCCTCTGCTTTTGGCTTAATTTTCCAACAAAGTATGTACCACCATCGAGCTTAGTCTGCAGCGCTATATACTGTCGGTCTGTGCCCTGGGAATGTGCCGGGCTCCTGGGGAAGGACTGTCCCTTTGAACAGGGCTAGGCTCCAGGGACAATTTCACAGGACTGACTTTGGGATTGCGTGAGAGAATGTTTCCTCAGGGTCAGGTGCGTCTTTTTGGGTTCCCACCACATGTAACAGCTGGAGCTTCAAAGGGGTCATCTGTGGTGGGAATATCTTAACCTATGTCGTGTCCAGGAATATCTTAACAACCTGTCCCCTGTCCTGTGTTGTCTTCTGTCACTCCATAGTCTGGCTCAATGAGTGCCACACAGTACACACACACACACACACACACACATACAGACACACGGAAACATACAGACACCACACGCACATAGACACAGACACAGACACAGACAGACACACATACAGACACACAGAGACATACAGACACCACACACACACACACACACACACACACACACACACACACACTCCATAAACCATCCAAGAAGAAGACCTCCTCCTCATGGTGTCATCAGTGTTGGCCAGGGAGAGATGCTCAGGGAAGCCTGGGCTGGAGGTGACCTGCCTTCCGGTTGACCAGGCCCCAGTGGGAACTGCACAGGGGAGGTGATGTGTCCTCCATGACAGCTCGCTGAGTCACAGATCTGGGAGCATAGAACCTGGGTGTGCCACTGTGGCCACATTCCCACATGCCAGGGCCCACGGGTGGCAGGTGCCCACTGAGTCCACACACAAGTATGAGCCCAGGCAGGGAAGCATTTGTAGGGGTGGGCAGGGAAGAGGAAGTGGTGGGATGCCCCGCGAAGGCAGAGGGAGGAGCAGGGGGTGAGATGCAGGCTGGGGTTTAGGTAGAGGCTGGGGTTCAGGTGAAGGCTAGGGTTCGGGTGCAGGGTGGGGTTAGGCTGGAGACTGGGGTTTGGGTGCAGGATGAGATTAGGATGCAGGTTGAGGTTAGGGTGCAGGCCGAGGCTTGGTTCAGGCTGGGATTCGGGTGTAGGTTGGAGTTTGGGTGGAGGCTGGGGTTTGGGTGCAGCGTGGGGTTTGGGTGCAGCGTGGGGTTCGGGTAGAGGCTGGGTTTGGGTGCAGGCTGGAGTTCGAGTAGAGACTGCGATTTGGGTGCAGGCTGAGGCTTGGTGCAGGCTGGGGTTTGGGTGCAGGCTGGGGTTCGGGTGCAGGCTGGGGTTTGGATGTAGGCTGGAGTTTGAGTAGTTACTGGGGTTTGGGTGCAGGCTGAAGCTTGGTGCAGGCTGGGGTTTGGGTACAGGCTGGGGTGTGGTGCTCCATGGAGATTCAGCTGCTCTGGGCATGAAGGGCGACCATGAGGTGTGTTTTGGGCAAACCTCCACCATGCTATCTATTTTGGTGGGCACCAGGGGCTGCCACATTTCGCCCCTTGGGTGCCCAGAGTGTGGCACAAGCTGCCCTGCCTGGACAGTGGCTCTGGTTTTGGGTCAGTGAGTGCTTGCGGGGCAGGGGCCGGGAAGCTGAGAATTAGAGTCTTGACCTGTCCACACGGTTGAGCATATTTACTGGCTCAGCCCACCCACTGGTCACACCCCAGCCCCCTGCCCGCCCAGACTCCCAGGAACCTCTATGCAGAGAAAAGGTCCCGAAACACAGGCCAGGCTGCCGTGGCATCCCTTTGCTCAGTTGGCTCCCTCTGCCTCGGGCCCAGAGGCAGAGGAAGACGGGCTGACCTTGCCTGCCGCCTCTTCCACGCCCCACTCTGTGCCAGGACCTGGGTCCCCCACACTCTGCTCTGCGCCCGGATCTCCCGCTCCCACTCTGCCCTGTGCCAGGATGACCCAGTGGTACTCAGGGGGACGGGCCCCTCCCAATGACCCTGGTGGTTCAATGAATGGTTCAATACAAGGGCCCAAGGGTGTGGTGCTGGGGGTTCCCCCGGGCCACCTCAGTGCTGCTCAGGCTCTCCCAGGGTCACCCTGACATCCTCGGGGAACCATCTATTTTTGTTTCATTTACTAATTAAAACACAGTGGTATAATTATTGTTGATACTTTATCAAATATTTTGCATAGAAGATAAGACATGCAAAAATGAAAATAATTGTCAGTATGACTTTTTAAAATGAAAATTTATTGGGACTGGAGCAATAGCACAGCGAGTAGGGCATTTGCCTTGCATGCAGCCAACCCGGGTTTGATTCCCAGCATCTCATATGGTCCCCTGAGCACCGCCAGGGGTAATTTCTGAGTGCAGAGCCAAAAAGAAAAAAAATTAAGATTTGTTTCCCTTCTTTTGTTGATTGAGGTTCTGTGACTTACAATACCATCAACGATAGTTTCCCATAATTGGGGAACCATATGGAGTGCTGGGAATCAAACCAGGGTTGGCTGCATGCAAGGATGTGCCTTAGCCTTTGTACCATCTCTCTGGCTACAGCCTTCTTTATTAACCAATTTTTTTTTTCTGCTTTGACCACACCTGGTTGTGCTTGGGATGTATTCCTGTCTCTTGGGCTTAGACTCTGGGTCTCAGACATAATGGAGGTTGACAAGTGCCAGCAGGCTTGGGGGACTATATGTTGCATCAGAGATTGAAGCCAGGTCGGCCACAGCAAAGCAAACAACCTACCCTCTGTATTATATCTCCTTCCCCAAGTCAGTTATGACTTCCCTAAGTTGAGCTCATTTCCTTCTGAGCTAGCTGTGAAATAAATACATTTATGGGCCACAGAGGTGGCTCAAGGGCTGGAGCACACACTTTGCATGCAGAGTGCCTGGGTTTGATCCTGAGTGCCGCCTGGTTCCCTGAGCACCAAGCCAGGAGCAACCCCTGAGCACTGCTAGTAGGCCGAGCCATTCCTCACCAAAATACCTATTTATTCACGTGTCCTCCCTTCCTTCCTTCCCTCCTTCCTTCCTTCCTTCCCACCTTCCCTCCTTCCCACCTTCCCTCCTTCCCACCTTCCCTCCTTCCCACCTTCCCTCCTTCCCACCTTCTCTCCCTCCCTCCCTCCTTCCCTTCTTCCTTCCTTCCTTCCTTCCTTCCTTCCTTCCTTCCTTCCTTCCTTCCTTCCTGCCTTCCTGCCTTTCCTCCTTCCTTATTGGGCCATACTGGTGATGCTCAGAGTTTACTCCTGGCTCTACACTCAAGAATCACTCTTGGCAGTGCTCGGGGGACCATATGGGA